GCAAGTCAGACATCAGCACTAGAAGCAAGTCCTGGCATCCTGCTGTGCTCAGCTCCTGCTCTTGGGCTGAGTGCTCACACTGGGCATTGGTTCTGGCTGCCAGCACCAATCCTGTGCTGCAATGCAGAGCCCTGTGGCTGCCACTGCCTCCTCCCCTGTGCCTGCAGGCCAAGGAATGTGGCCCTTCGCCCACAGCTTGGCTACTGCTCATGGCTTCCTGTGCTCTGCAGAAACAAAGGGAGGTAGGACTCCCATTGCTTTGTGTGGGGAAGCACTAGCACTGCTGCCTGGACCAGCAGAAGGAGGCATTTGCTCCAGACAAGAACTGGTCCCAGGGCTGAGGGTGCTGAGGGCTGCTCCCAACCCACACACAGCCCTGTGCCCTGATGAGATGGTCCAGCTAAGAGGCTGACGTGGCATGCATGGGATGCAGCCTGCCCTGGCCTCCCTCACTGCTTCTGCCCTGTCATCTGCTGGCCACTGTCTCCCCAGGGTGAAACACTTGTAAAAAGCATCTGCTGATCAGAATGGGACACCTGGACAGGTTCCTCCCTTCCTCAAGCATGGTCATGCCAGGACCACTTGCTGTGCTTTCTGTGTGACAGAGGATGCCCAGGAGCAGTAGAGGTTCCCAAGGAAAGCCAGCTTACTCTCAGCAGGCAGGAGACTGCTATGGATTGAAGCATGCTGTCTGCCACAGCTGTCTACACCTTCCCTGAGGCGTCCAGCATCCAAACCCTGGGACTCCAGGCTCCTGCCTGCAGGTGCTGTGCCTACTGCAGTGCTGACTGAGCACCTGGCTGGAGTGCACCCACCCTGAACAGCCCCAAACCACAGCCAGCAAATTGGGGCAACCTCTCTTCAGCCTTTCTAGAGCACCTGAACTCGGATGGATGTTGCCAGGACCAGCTGGGTAATGCTGGGGTGAAGGTCCTGAGCACCTGGCACTGTGCTCACTGCGGTGCCATGGAGCTTCTGGGGGAGGCTGTGTTCAGGCTGGCACTGGAGGGCTCTGGCAGTGGCACCACACTCCCACCATGTGCTCAGGGTGTCCGGGAGTCCTCTGTCATAGTGTCAAGGTGATGCTGCACCTGGGCTGCTTTGACCCCTTGGTTTTGGTCCTCAAGGCTGGTTTTAAAATTATGGCTGCTTCAGCACCATCTATTTTGTTCCCACAAAAATTTTGTTTTTTGCCACAGCTCTGAGTGATATCTTAAAAGTCTTTTCCAACCTTAATGATGCCACGATTCCACGGTGCTGTGGTATTGTGTGCTCCTGCCCAGCTGCAGAGGCTGGAAGCGTGGATGTCTGCCAGGAGCACAACTCAGCACTGGCGCCCACGCTGTCCTGTGCTCACCTCAGCCTGCTGTGGTGCCTCGTGGTGCAGCTGCCCTCTCTGCCCTTGAGCAAGCAGGTGCCTGACCCCGGAGCAGACCTGCTCAGCAGCCAGCAGGGATTATTACTCCATTGTCTACTGACTGGGCAGTTTCCCCAGAACTGACAACAACATGCACCTCCCCACAGCTCCTCACCTCTGATGTGGCAGCCTCCAGTGCCCTTTCTGGCATCACTGGCCCGAGGTGCCCAGGCAGTCCCAGGCACACTTGGCCTCTGGAGAGGTGTGGGGGTGTGTGGGGAGAGCAGCAGACCCTGTGTCATGGCATGGAACTGGGAGCTGGCAGGCAGCCAAGCACGAGGCTTGCTTAGGCAGGGAGGAAGGGGCTTGGGCTTTGTCTGGAGAGGCTTTGGCAGGGAGCCCCACGTGGTGCCCCAAACGTGGTGCCCCAAACGTGGTGCCATGCCTGTCACAGGACCCCCCTGGCAGAAGGCACAGGGTGCCCATGTCTCCTTGAGGCTGGGAGTGCCTATGCCCTTCCAGCATGGCCATCCATACTACAGTGCCTCTGAAAGGAGGCTGTAGAGTGTTGCTCAGACCCCTCAGGGCTGCTGCCAGTGTCTCTTGGTTTTTAACTTAGAGACTAGAGGGGCAAAATCCTCGGGCCAGTCAGCTGCAGAGTGAGGGATTGCAGCTCACCCCTAGGGCTCCACCCCGTTCTTTTCAAGTGTCAGCACCGTCACAAAACCATTCCCAACTGAACAGAACCCCCCAGGAGGCTCATTTTAGAGCTTCTCAGCCACAGCCTCACCTTGACTTCATCCCCTCCTGACCTGATGTCTGTGTCTCTGCAGTTGTTCAGAAAGACATCCCCCTCTTGGGAGGTAAATAATCAATAACATCCGGCCTTTGTAATTCTATTAACTCAATCAGTTTCTGTCCCAAACTTTCCCCGGTGCCAGCTCCTTGCGAGCCCTCCACATGCCCAGGGCTCCCAGTCTGCAATGCAGCACCACAACACACCGCTCTGACTGTCGGCATTTGGTGCAGGGATGGCAGCAGCTGCTGGTGTTCAGAGCAGCAACGTGCTGCTTCCTTCCCACCCTGCTCCTTCCCTGTGCAGCCCCTGCTGGCATTGGGATGGGCAGGAAAACTCAGTCCTCGTTTTCCTGGCCCGCCTCGAGGATGTGCTAAACCAAGCAGCTGTTGCCAGCATAAGGACTGGCTGGTGGCCACCACATCCTCTCCCCTTGTGGCCCTCGTTCCCACTCTGCCTAGCTCTTGTGAGACACAGGTAGCACCGTGTCCAGTCCTGTCTGGCGCCGTGCCACTCTGTGGTCCTCAGGGCTGGCAGCACAAACACTGGGCAGGACCAGCCTCTGTCTCCTCCACCCCACTTGCCACGGCAAGCGATGGTGAGTGGAACCACGGGAATGTGAGGCACTTGGCCCTCCTGGGCTTCCTGGGGCAGCAAAGAGCCGTTTGGAGGGGAGTGACGTGAGAGCTTCTGGTCTAAAGCGTGAACCTTAGCACTGTGCTGCAGCTGTGACACTTATCTGGCTTAAGGGATCAGGCGCCGGGTGTGCAAATGGGGCCAGGGCTCTTGCAGAGCCAGCATTACCTCAAAAGCACCCTTAAGCCAGCCTGTGACCATGTACGCGCCCACTTGGCCCAGCTCAACTCTGTGCCCACCTCCCAGAAGTCCTGAGTGCACATCTCATTGTCATCCAAAATCCACCCATGAGGCTGTTTGCTCAGCATCCACAGGCCCCTCCAGCTCTCCCTTTAAAAACTGGCCTAGAGAGGGAAGAGCCAGGACCTGCCAGCAAAGCTTTTCTTTTCAATAGAGGAGTCCCTGTCCCAAAGGCAGGCGCGTGGGAAGGCTGGAACAGCCAGATGAGGTCGGGCCAGGGGCTGCTCTGACACCAGCTCCCACAGTCAGAGATCCTCGGTGTTCTGCCAGCAGGACAAAATGGACCCTTTGCTCCATCCTGTTCCTACCAGGACATTGGCAAAGTCTCCCTGGCTTCTCTTGGGCCAAGCCTGGGGTATGTCCCCCCTGGCACTGGCGGTCCCAGCACTGCTGTCTCCCAAACAACCCCAATCTCTGCCCTCCCGGTCATCCCGGGAAGTCCCCCGGGACCCCAGTCCTACTCTCAAGCATTTGTCCCCTCCTGCTCTCGCATGTCCCCGGCTGCAGCGGCTTGTCCTGGTACTCTGGGACCACCCAGGGCAGCTGGCAGCTCCGGGCTCCCTGCCGGGACCGCAGCGCCCGGAGCCAACCCCCGGACACGGGAATGTGCCCGCGGCGGCCCCCGCAGCCCTCACAGCCCCTGCCAGCGCGGGTCCCGTGAAGGGGGCCCGCGGCAACCCCGACGAACCCCGGAGAGCCGGGACCCGCGCCCTCTGGTCCCTGCGGGACCGCGGCCGGGCCGGGCTGTGCCGGTGTCCTTGTGCGCGGGGCCGGTGACCAGCAGCCCGAGGCGGGGCCGATCCATCCAACACGGCTGAGCCCCTGCGGCCGCTCCGTCGCCCTCTTGGCCCGGGGCCCCGGGGCCGGGCGGGCTTGGTCCAGGGCCTCCCGGTCCTTCCCGCCACGGACGAGAAGCGTCCATCGCGCCGTCCCCACGAGCTGCTCCGGGACCCGCCGCCCAGGCTGGAGCCGCGGGGCTGCCGCCGCGCCCGCCCCCGGTGCCGGTGCCGGTGCCGCAGGGATCGTCCCCCGCCCGCCGCCCCCCGCCCTTGCGCCCTCGCCGCCCGCGCACATTACCTGGGCGGGTATCGCCGACGCTGACGCTCGCCCGCGCTGACCGAGTCCCGGGCGAGTAGGAAGCCGGCGGCGAGAGAGCCGGCGCCCACCATGGCCAGGAGGCCGGCGGAGCGGCGAGCGGAGAGAGCGCGAGCGAAGGTGCTGGCCATGTCGGAGCGGCGGAGCAAGCGCGCCGGGGCGGGCAGCGGACGTGAGGGGAATCGGAACGGGAATGGGAACGGGAACGGGAACGGCGGCGGGGCGCGCGGGGGCGGGGAGCCGGCGGGGCACGGGGGGGCCTGGCGGCACCGCCACCTGCTTGGCTGCCCCGCCCCGCCCCGCCCCACCGAGCCTCCGCCGCTTTCAGCACCGCTCTCCGGACAGCGCCGGAGGGGCGGCTGCGCCGAGGCGGGCCGGCTCCGCACCGGGACCCGCTCCTCGGAGCCTCTGGCCGCGCCCTGGGGCGGGCGGGCACCGCCCGGTCAAAGTTCGTCCACCTGAAGCCGGGAGCGGCGACCGCGGCTCCTCGACGGGATGCGGCCCGCGATGGGTCGCGGGGTCGGGGGCCTGTTCTCGGCGGTCACCAGCCCTCCCGCAGTGCCCGCCACGCCGACGGGGCCGCACCGGCGGGCCAGGAAGTGCGCCGCGTTCGCTACCGCAGACCCCCGAGGGACGGGAGCTGCTGGCGCAGAGCTGCGTTGCTCTGGGACACAGGAAGCGGCCACCCAGTAGAACCCCGCGCCCAGCCCGCTACGGCCGCTACGGCCGCGCGTCCCTCCCGGTGCAGCCGCGCGCCTGCCGTTACAGCGCGCTGCAGGACCCGCCGCCGCCGCCAGGGGCCGCCATGCTGTGCCCGCTCGCGTCCCGGCCGGCCCCGCCTCCTCCGCGCCGATTGGCTGCCTACGGCCGTCAGCAGACGGTGATTGGCCGGCGGCAGGGCCCGCAGCGCAGGGTGCGCTCGGAGGCCGCAGGTGAGCGGAGCGAAATGGCGGCGCCTGGCGTGGCGCCCCCTGCTGCCGCCGGGGGGGCAGGGGCGGCCGAGGGGCCGGGGCCGGGGCCGGTCGGGAAGCGAAGGGAAGCAGAGCGCAAGGCGGGGAGGCGTAGGGCGGCCGACCGCGCCGCTGCTGGGCCCTGTTTGTCGGCGGCTGGCGGGGAGCGCCAGGTGGGCGGCAGCGGCGGCGCCACGGCGAGGCGCGGCCCGGTCCCGTGCCGCCCGCAGGCCGCTCGGGGCCTGTGCGTGCCGGCGCGGGGCGGGTGCCTGCCCGCTCTCCGGGCGGCGGCGGCTCGCCCTTGGCGGGGCTGCCTGAGGGCGCGCCGCTCTCCCGGCCCGGTCCTGGCCCCTGCCTGTGCCTCTGCCCCGCTCTCCGGTGCCGCCGTCTCTCCCGAGCCTGGCGGGCCGGTGTTCGTGAAGCCGCCACGGTGTGCGCGGGGTGGAGCGGCAGCGGCCCCCCGCAGTAAACCCTCAGCGACAGCGGCCGCGTGGAAGGAGTTCCCGTGCTGAGGAGTTTGGCGCTTCACAGGTGCCCCGAGTCTGGTTAAACAGTGCGCTACGAGCAGCGGCACACGCGAGGGGTCTCGCCACTCCGCTCGGTGTGCGGTGGAGCGGGGGCTGCCGCCGTGCTCCGCTCCGCCCTCCGCGCTGCCGCTCCCGCGGCGTTCGGCCCCCCGACAGCGCTGCGGGGATCCGCTGGACGTGGCTGCGGCTTCCCGCCTGCCAACGCCTGTGTTACCAGAACAGAGGGCTGTCTCTCATACGCCGCGTCCAAATAGTTTTAATTATTGACCCCAGAATAGGTGATGTTTCTGTTCCGAAGCAATTGAGTGCCCATGAGAGGAGCACAGCTTTCACCATGTTAAAGAATGGAATTAACCTTAATGCAAACAGCCCTTGCAGCAGTGGAAACAACTCTCTGTGTGTCACTGGTCATGCAGAGGCGTGTTAGTGGTCACGCATGCAAAGGTATTTCACTGCTCAGGGCCTAAGCATTCAGGGTTGGTTTTTTTGGACTGGTTGGTTGGTTGTAGGGCCACCAGCGGTTTCAGATAGTTCTACAAGACATTGGCAGCATAAGTGTTTTAAAATGCCAGCTATGTGTATTTTTAGAAGTCATGATCCTGCACGCACTTGACCTGGCTTGGCTAGGCTGTGGGTCTCTAAGTTGGATCATGCCTGCAGGCTTTCTGCTCGCCGGGGTAATCCCAAATTCCTGCCACTGACAGTACGATAAGCCATGCTCCTGTCGGTCAGCCTGGCACTGCAGAGACTGCACCTCCATCTGCACCTTTTGTTTAAAAACTGAAATGACACAAAACCCTGACATGCAAGCCCACTCTTTGGTTGGTTAATGCCACACTGAGTACAAACGTAATACAAGACCTAATCACATCCTCACACCTTAAATGTCTGGTACCTCAGAAGCAGGGCACAAAGAATTTCTTTACTTTGTGAGCACCCTTATCTGAACAGCACCAGAATGATCTGCTGGGGAACCAGAAAACCATTTCCTGTATAGTTTCTTATCTCTAATACAGGGCAGTCTAGGGAGCTGAAACAGTCCCAGGCCATCAGAGGTAAGGTCTGTGGCTCCATTTAGGGTTGTGTGTCAGCAGATTTGGATTGCTGCTGGGGTAATTTCGGTAACCTTTGGTATGACTGTGCAGCAGATCACAGCTGCCCCTCCTGGAAGTGCAGCAGGAAAGTCTTCAGCTGCAGTAGCTGGCATGTACTTCCTCCTGTATCTGTGACAGGACTACCAAGCCTGAATATTCTGACTCATAGCCAGGATCATCCTTAGCTTTTGTGTGCATGTGCCAGAGCTGCATTAGTCCTTTTGTCTCCCTTGGGTGACACAGTCAGCAGCATTAACTCAACACTGAATTTTCTTGCTGTGATTAGTGAGAGGTGAGGCCCATAGCACTCTCAGCAGCTGTGAACTGGGCAAAATGTGTGGCTTCCATGAGCAGTTAGCTCACAGTCAGCTGGGACAGAGCCATCAGCATGCTGTGGTTGGTGTGAAAAGAGTGGGCTGTGTGCTGTGCAGGAGCCTGCAAGGGTTCCATGATGGCACTTGCCACCCTGCTGGCATATGAGCCCCGTGCCAGTTCAACACCAGAGCTGGCTCAGGTGTGGTGGGCAAACTTCCTGTCGCTGTCCTTAGATACCAGAATAGAACTCCACTTTCCTGTGTCCATTTAAGAGCAACAGTCTGAGTTTTTAATGACTTAGTTACGGCTGTAGCTAAAAGTTCTGTTCATCAAGAGTCTGTATTTGCCTGGTATAAGTCTATGGTAAGGGGTCTGCTTTTAAGAAAAACTAGAAGAAGGTTCCAGTTAACCCTCCCCCCACACCTGAAATCAAGAGGCTTTCCTTATTAACATCATAGTCACACCTGTGCTATCAGTGGCTGTCAGCTTCAGTGAGGCTCTGAGTTTTTACCTGATGTGAGTATGATGTGTCATGGCCTTGAAACAGCTATAGAGCAAGGAAGAGGCTTTGTCTCTGGGATAGGAGGAGGAATACAGAGAAGTTACTGCTTTCTGAGTTCTTGGGCCAAAGGTTTTCCAGCTGCTTATCTGGTTTTTTTCCAAGAGGGAGGGGAGAGTAAGGGATTGGAGAAAATAACCCTCCTCCTCCTTTTGCGTGGTTTGTTTCACTTCATCAAATCATCAGCCTTCCAGCTGATAGTATAGCTGCTAAGGGTTCATTCTGCACTGATGTGCTGAGGCAGCAGGACACAGGCATGAGATGGTTCCTGAGTATGTTGGGAATGCTACTCTTGTCCTCCTCTGGAGATAGCAGGGCTATGTGGAGTGCACAGTAAATACCTCTACAGCCTGGTCTGCCAGCACTGTTCCTCCCACTAGCAGCGAGCACTGGTGGTGAGTATCAGCTCTGACTGAAACGTTTCAGTGCCAGATGTGTGCTGTGCTTTGAGGATTTTGTGGCAGCAGCAGCACTGGGTTCGGTGCATGGGACTGAGATGGAGGAGATCATCCTTGGTGTGGTATGTACGGAGTCCAGCCTTGCTGTGTCCCCTGTGTGGTTTCTGTGGGGTCGATGTCCGCTCCCCCAGTGGAGGGACAGGAATGCTTTTGGCTACTCTATAATAAGGAAAAGCACAGTGACAGACACCTGCTTGGGTCGATGTCCGCTCCCCCAGTGGATCCTTAGGCAGGAGGAATGCTTTTGGCTACTCTATAATAAGGAAAAGCACAGTGACAGACACCTGCTTGGTGCTGTGGGTGGAGCTTAGGTCGATGTGAACAGCTGTGTCCTTGGCACGTACAGGTCAGTTGGATGGTGTGTTCAGACTCTGTCCCCTCTGAGGCAGGCACTGCTGCTCTTGTAGGTGACAGTGGAGGACATGATCCTTTCCTGGCATTTCTAAGTCATAGCATATATTCAGCAGCTGATCAAAGGAGGTGATTGTTCCACTCTGCATTGGTCACAGCACTAAGTCTGTGTAAGTTCAAGAAGCCTGTGGACAATGCTCTCAGGCACACGGTGGGGTTCTTGGGGTGTCTGTACAGGGCCAGGAGCTGGACTCAGTCTTGATGGATCCCTTCCAACTTGGTGTATTCTGTGATTCTATGCCAGCTTGCAAACCCGGACATCCTGACCTGCTACCTAAACTGTTGCTGATGCTCCTTCTGTGTCCTCTTTCCTTGCCATAGAGTTTTCACTTGTTTTTCCTCCCTGCAAACTCCTGCACCTCTCAAACTGTTCTCTCTGTAACTGTAGGTCTTCTTGAGCTGAAAGGATGAACATTGGCAATTGGAAAATCACTGTCACTGACCTGAGCTTTATACTGACTTCTGGAGTCCCAGTTGATGTTGTTGGGCTTATGAGTCTGCAGGAGTGTCCCCTGTCCCTGTCCATGATTTAGACAGCGGTTGGACATGCATCACTGTAAGGGTTACATGGTTTCAATGCTGGTGCTGACACTTTCCTAGTGCAAGGGGCTTAATTGCAAAATGGAGCTGCTTATCTAAAATAATCCAGAATTCTGGTTCCCCTCCCACCTTGAGAGTGTCTTCCTGTTCCCCCTTTTTGTGCTGGGCAGCTCTCTCCCTGGGTTCCCTCATGCTGGATCAGTCCCTGCCCTCCCCACCATCATTTGCTTCCATCAAGCAGCTGGCCCTGGGGTCGCCCTGCATCTGACCTCTCTCCCTTTTGTACACTGTAATTCCAGAGCGGGATGGTCGGCCACCAAAGCTGCAATGTCGTCCCTGACGACCTCCAGTGAGGGAGAGAACTCTGCTCCCAGGTTTGTTGTTGGTTCCAGAGATGATGAGACAGAATTTCTGGGATCAAACATGAAGACAGACGAAACTGATTTCTTTGAAGATGATGAAGAGGAGGAGTCGGTAAGGAGGTCCCAGCGTTCTGGGCTGGAGCACCTGTGTGGAATCCCTGGGTCTCAGCCAGGTTTTGCATGGTTGCTGCTGGGGCTGCAGCTGTTTGGGACTGCAGGGGACACAGCACCTGGCTGTGTGGCACAGCCGTGGGACACAGCAGTGGCATTTATGGCAGGACACATTACATCATGCTGCCGTACTCACTGCCTCAGGAAATCCAGCTTTTTTGCTTGCAGATCTGATTCAGGAAAACTGGTGGATTTCTTTGTTCTAGAGACTTAACCTGACATTCCTGTAAGTCTGTTTCACCAGGGAAATTTTTTGGGGAAACTCTGGCACCTGTGAAAAGGGCAAAGGTGTCTCTGCAGAGAGAAACATTCATTTTTTCTGTAACCTCCGGGAACAGGATGCAGAAAAAATGATCTCCAGCTCCTGACTGCTTTTGGCCCCTATTCAGTGTTACATTAAATGCCACTAAACTGATCCCTGTCTTCCCCTCTGTCAGCCTCCAGAACGGCAGATCGTGGTGGGAATCTGTGCCATGACCAAAAAGTCCAAGTCAAAGCCCATGACACAGATTCTGGAACGTCTGTGCAAGTTTGAGTACATCACAGTGGTGATCATGGGGGAAGATGTTATTCTGAATGAACCGGTGGAAAACTGGCCCTCTTGTGACTGCCTGATATCCTTCCACTCCAAAGGTAACACATCTCTAGCAGTCCTTAGCCTGCCTGAGCTGTGAGCAGGGCGTTTCCTTTCAGCCTTCTCCTCTGTCCTCACCCTGTATTTCAGGATTCCCCCTGGATAAGGCAGTTGCTTATGCCAAGCTGTGCAAACCATTTCTGATCAACGACCTTGATATGCAGTATTACATCCAGGACAGGTGGGTGTCTGTGAGCCACTAAAGCCCCTTCCCTCTTCCTCTGATTCTTCTCAGCATGCTGTGGACTCTTAATTTTTCTGGTCACAAAGGAGTGAGATGAGGAGGAAGGGGACCTTAGCAGGGGGACCTTGGCTTTTTGGGGTTTCTCCAAAGCATGGAAGGGAATGGCTTTGAGGGTAAAACCATTGAGGCCATGTAAAATCATGTTTATTTTCTGGTGTAAATGTCTTGTAAGGAGTGGCTGGGATGTAGGGAGTGGAAGAGTTCTCACAGAACAAGGCTGCTATGACTAAAGCAAAAAGACTAGTCTCTATGCAGGAGAGCTAAGTGGTGAGATGGGGCTCTGAGTCAGAAATTGGGAGCAAGGCTGGGTCAGAATCTGTGGAACCTGTCTTGGTCAGACACGTGAGGTTTCTCGGTCATCTGTTGCTAGAGGCCACCAGCAGCCACATACTTGAGCCCTCATACCCAGGCTGCTTTGGCTGTGTGTGAGTAGGGCTCCTAACAGATCCTACACCTCCTGCCCTATGGTGAGCAGTGTTATGTGGGTGCTGGCAGGCATCCCAAGGTGTAACTAGTGAAAGAACTGGGGTTTGCCCCTTGGCACAAGATGAAATGAAGTTCCTGCCACTTCTGCCAGGCCTGGACACTGGACAGCTTGGCGTGACAGGGCACTCTCCAAGGGGGTGGGTCTGGGCAGGTGGTGTGTACTGGGTGTGCTGCTCTGCTTTGGGCACATGCTAATAATTGAGTGTCCATGTCTAGCCTGGGTAGAGATTTACTCTGGGGCATCTGTGTCCAGAGCAGGACTGAGGCAAACCCTGTAGCCCATAGAACTCATCCAGAGAGCATATGCTGAGAAGTACCTGCAGTTGTCTTGATGCTTTTTGTGTTCATCTGACTGTGTTCTTCATCAGTGGGAGTGAAGTCTTTCCCTTGGTGTGTACTGAGGACCTTCTAAACTCTTCTGACACTGCTTCTGTCCTCTACAGGCGTGAAGTGTATCGGATCCTTCAAGAAGAGGGAATAGACCTGCCCCGCTATGCTGTGCTCAATCGAGATCCTGACAGACCAGAAGGTCAGTGTCCAACTTCTACTGAAAGCCATTTCCCCAGGCTCTGCTACTTAAGATAGTCTGCAGAGGGCAGATACTGGCAGTCACCTCAAAGAGGCCTGACTCATAAGTCTCTCGGGTTTTTTTTGTGGGCAAAGGTCCCAGCAGCAAAACTGACTGATGGTCCTGGAAGGGGCTGTGTCTCTGCACTAGGACTGTCTCACCTTTCCTGATGTGCTGCTGCTGTGCTCTGTCTTCAGAGTGCAACTTGGTGGAAGGAGAGGACCATGTGGAGGTAAACGGAGCTGTGTTCCCAAAGCCATTTGTAGAGAAGCCAGTCAGTGCTGAAGACCACAATGTGTATATTTACTACCCGACATCAGCAGGCGGGGGCAGCCAGCGGCTCTTCCGTAAGGTGAGGAGGGGTCTCCAGAGCGTGTTGGAACCAACACGTCTGAGACTCATGTGGCTTCAGGAAGGAGTGTTGGGGCAGGTGAAGGGAAAGCAAGGTTTTGTGCTGGGGAAGTTTAGACCTTCTTAGAACTTTTAGTTCAACCGCATCTACCTGGGAACCACAGAAGGATGTATTTTAGTGGTGGTGCTGACTTCACCTTCCCCGTCCTCTTGGTGACCTTTGTCCTGTAGTCATGGAGCACTGTGTCCCTTTCTGAATTGCATGCTGATTTCTCCTGGGTTTATCAAGATGAATTTTTCAAAAAACCTACATTCCTGTCATTTAACATCATTCTTGCCCTTCCCATTTAGTGTAGCTTGCACATGTGATAAAAGCAGTATTTATTCCTAGATTTCACAGGAAATCTGCCCTTACTCGCGTCCCCCACTTTTCCGGTGAACAGTTACAGCTGTGATATATCTTTTTTCCAATCAGTTACACATCTGGCATGGATAAACCTAAAATGATTGTTCCCTTAGGTAAGAGACAGGTATGCTTCTTGAGGTTGTATCCAAAGCCTTACTAAAAATGAAAACAGCATCATCCTCGATGTCAATAAAATCATGGTCTTAGAAAAAAATTAAATTGGTTGGATTATCACCTGTCATAATTTATTTTCATTTGCATACTAGTTAGGCTCCTTACTTTGTAGGTATTTTTTCACTTTTTTTTGTTTCACATCCTTGAAGTGATTGGAAACAAATTAGTTTTTATTTGCATATTAGTTAGGCTCCTTACTTTTTAGGTATTTTTTCACTTTATTTTTGTTTCACATCCTTGAAGTGATTGGAAACAAATTAATGGTCTATAATAGCTTTTCTCCTCTTTAAAGCCTGGAAAATGACATACCTGCTGCCTGTGTTTTGGTCTCTTTTGTCCTCCATAAATAAGTGTGCTGTAATGTCTGGGGGGCCCGAGATGCTAATCCATTAAGTCTGCTAAATCCTCTACATATGGGGTGAAACTTCTGCTTTTCTGCTTCCATCTAAGGAAAGGATGCCTGTGCTTTTCCCTGAGGTGTTTATTCTGTGCTTTCAGATTGGCAGCCGCAGCAGCGTGTACTCCCCAGAGAGCAGTGTGAGGAAGACAGGCTCCTACATTTATGAGGAGTTCATGCCTACGGATGGCACGGATGTGAAGGTAAGGAAAAGCCTGGAATGGTGCCTTCCTTTGTCAGGCCTGGGGGAGCTGAAAGTTCAGCAGTTCTGCTTAGTCCTACTTAGGCTCTGGAATGTGCACTTGAGCTTTGAGGTGCTGACTGCACAGTTTCAGCCCCAAAGTGGGGAGCAGGCGCTCTGTAGATCACACCAGGAGGAATGGGTGAGACCATCTCGCCTCCTTTTGTGTGTCTGCAGCAGAAATACCTTCTGGAAGCTGCCGTTGGTCTTGGTGGCTGTGTCAGGTGTGCTCGCTCTGATTCCAGGTGTACACTGTTGGGCCGGACTATGCCCATGCGGAGGCTCGCAAATCCCCTGCTTTGGATGGCAAAGTGGAACGGGACAGTGAAGGGAAGGAAATTCGTTACCCAGTCATGCTCACTGCCATGGAGAAACTCGTTGCCCGTAAAGTCTGCGTGGCCTTTAAGGTCTGTATTTTCTTTCCTGTGCAAGCAGGACTCCACAAATGTCTGATAAGTGTCAGGGTTGGTGTTAAAACTTGTCATCCTGGCATGTCTCAGGCATGGCAATCCTCCATGCCTGATGCCAGTTGTTGGTCCTGCTGGCTGTGGCACTTTGCTGGGCAGAGGTGACTGGGAAGGCAAGAGAGCCTGCAGCAGATGCCCTCTGGGCTGGTCAGTGCCTGGTGTCCACACACATCTGAGCATTTAACACTGGATCCTGAACATGCTGCTCTCTATCTGACTTGTGCTCATCCTGTCTTAACTGTGTCAGTGGGGGAAGCACTGGACTCCTTGTTCCTGCTCCACTGCAACTGGCACCCCATGCAGTTGGAACTGATGCAGATTTGGTCTCTTTTCTACCTTGTAGCCTTTTCCATTTAGTGATGGGTGTCTTTGCCTGCAGCACTATTTGTCTGTGCTTGTCAGTCGGGTTCAAAATTATTGGATTTGAAAGGAAGAGCAGGATATCCAGGAGCTGCTCTTTCTGGTCTTTAGAGCTCTGGGAAGTCAGGGGTTGGCCCTGATGGCTTCATTGGGGGTTTGTGGCCTTGGGTTCAGCAGTAAGGGGGTAAAGGTCTGACTGATGGCATGTCTTCACATTTGTTCTGGGCTTGTGAGGTGGGCATGGAGTGGAGGATGGCTGTAGCACCAGCAGGGCTGAACTGGGCAGTGTTGGCTGGGTCTGTGTGTGCCCTGCTGGCAGGGTCGCTGCTGTCCCGCACTGCTTCCTGCCTGTGTATCCATGTCCCAAATCCTCTGCTTCCTCCTGCAGCAAACCGTGTGTGGGTTCGACCTCCTGCGGGCCAACGGCCACTCCTTTGTCTGTGATGTGAACGGCTTCAGCTTTGTGAAGAACTCCATGAAGTATTATGATGACTGTGCCAAAATCCTTGGGTATGAGCAATCTGAGTTTTGATAAGGTGGTAAGGTAACTCACAGCAAAGTAAAGTGAAATGTGGAGTCTTGGTCAGTATGTCAGAGAAGTCTGCAGGTGGTTCATGCGAGTCATTTGCTGAGCAGGTGAAAGCTTGGCTTTGGAGGAGCGGGTTATTCTCAAGCCCTGGAGCTCCTGCCTGCATTGGCAGGAGCTGTCTTTGTCTACAGCTAGATGTATCTTCCAGGACTTTCCATTGCATGCTGAGCCCAGTTGTGGTATTGGTGATGTGGGGGAAACTGGTACCCCTTTTGGGTGCCCTAACTAGCCCCAGAGGTAGTTAGGGGTGTGATAGGTGTCTCAGCAATGAAAGTGAGGAGAAATTCTGTGGCTTTCTTCACATCTTTCAGCAGGACTGCTAAGGAGGAGGTGGAGAACCAAGGGAATGTATTTTCTTGTGAGCGTTGTATTTTGATTTCTTCCAGAAATATAATCATGAGGGAGTTGGCTCCCCAGTTTCATATCCCCTGGTCCATCCCAACAGAGGCAGAAGACATCCCCATTGTCCCCACTACTTCAGGCACCATGTAAGTACCTGCCATCTTCTCAAAAGGATGCCAGCAATGGCTGTGAGTGACAAAGCCTGAAAAACCCTGTCCAAGGGCCTGACACCACTAGCAGCATGGCATCCTCCAGCTGCTGTGCTGCTTGCAACCCCGAAATGCCTGTGGAAAGGCTTATCTGTGCACGTGGAAGTTGTGACAGGTTGGAGATTAGTTGTAGATTTGGTGAATGCAGATGAGCAGTAACTGAAGAAGTTATAGAAACTGCTTACATGGCTTTCAGAGGTCCAAATTCTTCTTCAGGACATGAAACAGATCAGGACAGATGCTGTCGCTGGCTGCTACTTGGAGAAAGTGCATATTGAGCTACCAGTGAAAGAGGTGGAAACACTTAGCTGAAATATTCATAATTACCCATATGCTTGGCAGCCCCTCATTTGATAGCTTTGGCCTTACTAGTTTTCTAGCACATAAGGCTAAAAGATCAAAGGCAAAAGTTTCTTTGTGATCCTCAGCATATTTGTACACTGGTATGAAACCACTCAACTCAGTAGTGTCTGCAGAGCTCTGACTCCCTCTGCAGCTGTGGCACTTGTGTCTGGTTTAGTCTGGGAGAAATTCTACCCGTGCTCAGGAAAGCAGGTGTCAGAAGAATGGAGCTGAAAGAACAATGGGAAGCTACTTCCTGGTGGCAGTTCTGGACTGTAGGGGCACATTTGTCATCTTTATCTTGTGTTTCCCCAGGATGGAGCTTCGCTGTGTTATTGCAGTCATCCGGCATGGAGATCGCACCCCGAAGCAGAAGATGAAGATGGAAGTGAAACATCCCCGGTAAGAGCCAAGGGAAGAAGCTGCTGTGCTCCTGGGAAGGGATGAGGGCCTGTTCTCTAAACCAGAAGCAGGAGCAGAGGGCTGAGTGCACAGGAGGCATTATTTTTCCTGGCCCATCCAAGCAAATGCTTTCTGACCAGTTGAGAGAGCCCCCTTTCCCCACAAGGATCCTGACACCTTCTGTCACTGGAAGGGTGAGTGAAGGTATGGTAGGTGCTGAAAAGGGAAGTGCCCCACTGAATGGGAAGCTAGTATCTGCTTACTGGTTGTATTTTGAAAAACACTTGTTTTTTCAGTTTCTGAAGCACAGGGAAGAGCCAGCAGCCTGCTGGTTCTCCCTGAAGAACAGAGACTGAATGCACATGTGGGAATGACCCTCCTTGTATTATTGAAACAGCAGAAAATGGATCAGCATTCTTTTTTGTCTGTTCAGGTTCTTTGAATTATTTGAGAAATATGATGGTTACAAGACAGGGAAGTTGAAGTTGAAGAAACCAGAGCAGCTACAGGTGAGGAAGTACATTCTGGGGTTACTGTGTGGGATATGCAGTAATACAGATCCTGGTGTGAGGCAATTCTTTGGGAGGGTGCAAACCTCCAAAAGGGCAACAGTCTGTCACACAGATGCTCTCTGTCTCGTTCTGCACCCTGTGAACACCAGCTGGGTGACAGCAGGAGAGCAGAACAGAAACTTGTGCTGCCTGGGTGCACACTGTAGGATGGAGATGGCTGGTGTGGCTTGCCCACCAGCTGTGGCTGCCTCTGGTGACAGATGGGTCTGTGACAGGGAGTGGGGCAGTTGGAGGAACCTGCTTGGTTCTCAGCAGGACTGTAGTACAGCATGGGGATGAAGCAAACTGCAGTGTGAAAGATTGTCCTGCCTGAGCTGTGTCTTGTGAAATGACATGCCTGTGAGGAGTGTCTGCATGGACAGACACCATGGTGAGGCTGTTAGGAGGCCTTGCAGGAGTACACTGCTGAGTCTGAGGCAGAATTGCTCTCTGCTTTCCAACAGGAAGTGCTGGACATTGCACGGCAGCTTGTGGTGGAGCTGGGAACCCACAGTGATTGTGAAATTGAGGAGAGGAAATCCAAACTGGAACAGCTGAAGAGTGTCTTGGAGATGTAAGCATTCCTGTCTAGGGGCACTGTGGGTTTGCCTCAGAGCATGTGATACAGAAGCCAGCTGTGCTGCTGGTGTCCTGGCCAGCTGGTGCCTGAGACTGGGGTCTCCTCTGTCCCCTGTTAGTAACTGAAAGGCACCATGTTCCTCACTTATTCTCCTTGACATCAAAACCCTGCTGGTCTTTGTCCCAAGTGTGTCTGGTGTTTGGCTAAACAACTTGAGACAAAACTGAGCTTTCTTTTCTGCAGAAGAGGAACTGGGGTCCTGGAGGGACCATGTTGATATGAAGCATTTTGATATAATTGGAATAAAACTTGTTTTAAATAAAGTTGTCCTGGTGCCAAAAGTTTAGCAAAAAGGAGCTTGGAAAACATTAAAAGATGTTTGTATCCTCTGAGGTTTTGTACAGTCAAAATAAAAATGTGGTGGTATTGACAACTTCTAAACAAAACAGGGTTCCTCTCAGGACTGCATGTCCTGAGTCCTCTCAGGACTCAGCTATGGCACACACAGCCAGCATCTGTGTTCAGGCTGTCTCTGGAGCACAGAGCAGGACTTTTTGCTGTGATTCCCTCCTCTGCTCTTTCTGCTTATCAGAAATATGGTTATCCTCAAGGCATCTGTCAGGGTGTTTTTTCTCTGTGATCTCATCAATCCACTTGTTAAAGATGTTGACAGAGTTTAAAGCTCTAGTGAGGAATGACAGCGTAGAGTGCTCTTGGTAGAAGAGCAAGGGAATGGATCTTTGAATTTTGTTTGAGGGAGCTGTGTGGCTTTGGGGGTCTGTGGTGGGTCACAGGGAGGTGACAAAAATCATGTTGCATGGCTATGGGTGTTGTAGCAGAAAGTCTCTTTTGTTTGTTTGTGCTGTACTTCTACCGGGTACTGCCTGGGGGCCTCTGGGCAAAGGTTGGGTGGAGCTGATTGTTTCAGGTTTTTTTTCTCCATCCCTTATGACAGGTATGGACATTTTTCTGGCATTAACCGTAAGGTTCAGTTGACCTATCTGCCTCATGGACATCCAAAAGCTGCGAGTGAAGATGAAGGTAAAGAAACCTGATGGTGCTACCTAAACCCGATCTTTAAGCCCAGAGTTCAGCTACCCTCCCTGCAGGCCTCTGGACATGCAAGCAGAATTGGTGACCCATATCTTATCTTTGCTCACATCGTGGGAAGGATTGGAGGGATGCCAGTGCACCCTGCTTGGCTCTACAGGGCTTGCACTTCCAGTTTTGTGAATATCAGCCTATATCTTCAAAAACTAGTGACTCTGAATTTCCTACTTGCTGATTTGTTTCCTGGGGGGGTTTGGGTCAGGCCTGTGTTGAGCACACTCTGCAAGGTGCTGATGACAACCTCTTCTTCCTCCCGTCCTCTCACTGCAGGCTCAGATATGAGCTCTGGTGTAGTGAGTACCTGTTTGTCTCCTAGAAGCTCGCCGAGAGTGCTCCCCCTCCCTTCTCCTGGTGCTTAAGTGGGGAGGAGAGCTGACCCCGGCAGGAAGAGTCCAGGCTGAGGAGCTGGGGCGAGCCTTTCGCTGCATGTATCCCGGAGGCCAAGGTGAGTTTGGCCAGGTGCCTCTGGTCCTGCTGCCAGGCTGCCCAGCCCAGGGAGGGTAGCTCAGGCATCTGTGGCTGTATACAGCCTCTGGGGTTAACTTTTGTTCTTTTGAGTTGGCATGGTGGGGCTGAATAATTCAGGTGGGTTTTGTACCCAAAGATCCCTAAGCTGACCCGAGAGATCTGCTGTTAGACTTCAGGGTGTCATGGAATGCAGCAGCTTTCTTTACAGAATGTGCCAGGATTCAAAAAAGACAGGTGGTTCTAATAAGGCACATTCTGATGCAGCAAATGCAAAGTTTTTGAATGGTTAACAAGGAATTTAGGTCAAATGTAGAGAACCGAGGAGATCTGTCTTGGAACACAGATAATTCTGCCCTGAGACAGGAGAATAAGGAGGTAACAGCTCCATATTTTCTGCACCATAGTTCTGTGATGCTAAAAAGCATCTAATATGCACACAAATCAACAAGAGCTGAAAGGGAAAAAAAACCCCAAATGCTGAGATTGCCTTTGAGTCAGGAGTAATATACTGGATTGATCCAGTGAGCCTAGTATTGGATATGCTTGTCTTTGACTTGTGTGTTAAATTAATTCAATTTAATTAATTACATTTCAAATTAATTAAGCAAATTTAAATTGGATTGGAGAAGATTTCTTTCTAGAATAAGAAAGAGTTGCCTTTGGTGGAAGAGAATCGGGTCAGGGAACACTTAAGCAATCTGGACATACATGACCGCAGGGGCCCTGATGGGCTGCACCCACAGTGCCAAGGGAGCAGGCAGCTGTCCCTGCAAGGATTCTCTTTGAAAGGCACTGCTGGGGAGGTGCCTGAGGACTGGAGGAGAGGAAGTGTCACTCCTAGCTTCAAAACTGACAAGGAGGGCCCAGGGAACTGCAGCCAGGTCAGCCTCAGCACAGTTCTGAACTGCTAATGGAGCAGCTAATCCTGGAGATCATTCCTGGGTACATGAAGGAGAGGCGGGTGACTGTGAGTAGTCAGCATGGATTCACAAAGGGAAGTAATGCTTGACTAACCTCATAACTTCCTACAGGGAAGTGACCCCCCTGCTTAGGTGGGAGTCATTCTGAGCAGCAGCTTTGTACTGCTCCATGTGGCCATTCATGGGGAGATCTTGTTTCACAGGGAAGTGCTATGTTCATGGGTAGCATTTGGTGCCTGGCAGCTTTCCCAAGACATACATCTGATTTCTGGCTGGTGCCTGGCTGTCAGGGTGTTTCTCTGAGCTGTGGGCTCTGAGCTGGGAGTAGTGTTCCTGTCTTGTCACACAATGTGACTGGGTACTGTGCAGAGTTGCCCTGGGATTCCAGGCAGCAGCAAATAGTGACCACTGCACTGACTTTGGAGGTCAGACTCAAGAGCTTCATGAGTTACTTTCCTCCATTACTGATCTGACTCTTGTGGTTGACTCAGACATGAGAAATAAACTGGCAATTTGTGCCACAAAGTAATTGTATCTGTACCGGATCTGCTTTGGAAACTTCCCTGCTGAACCTCCCTCCCTGCAGTTCTGAGGGCTGCAGGACCTGCTCTCATGCAGAAAACAAGCAGAAGGAAGGGATTTTTTTTTGGGGCATCTTCATTCTGCACCAGGCTATCAAAACTACTACAAGGTGTTCAGTAGAGTTTGCTGCTGATTCTTTTTTGGGGCATCTTCATGGTGCACCAGGGTACTCAGGCTATCAAAACTACTACAAGGTGTTCAGTAGAGTTTGCTGCAGAATTTGGGCTGCCTCAGACTTGGCTGGTGAATGCTCATTATTTCCCTCAAAATGAACTTTCCCAAGTTAAGCAATGACTTCGTTACATTTCTAGTCCTTGTGTATAGCTAGAAATGTCTATTTTGGAGCAGCATAAATGCTGCCTATGCAAGTGACTAATTCTCTACATAACTTTGTTACTACAATAAAGTTTGTTTGTCTAAACCAGTGTATTCAGCTGATAGTTTAGCAGGTGTGAGAGTATGAGCTTTGAGTTGTCCTTGGTTGCAGGTGATTACGCTGGTTTCCCTGGCTGTGGCTTGCTCAGGCTGCACAGCACTTACCGCCACGATCTCAAGATCTACGCCTCGGACGAGGGGAGAGTTCAGATGACAGCAGCAGCTTTTGCAAAGGTCTGTATTCTCTTTTGGGCATCCGTTTGTTCTGCTTCATTACTCTTAAAATATGCTGGTTCTAAATGAAAACCTCTGGTGATGAGGAAGGAGTTTTCCTGGGATCTTGCCGCTCTCTGTTGGATGGACTGGGGTGCACAGAGCTAATAGCAGCTGTATGGGGCAGTACTGAACATCTGCTGTATCTGCACACACCTGTCACCCTTAGTGTCCTGTCCAGGGCAGGATTCTCAGTCAGGAAGGAGTTATGTATGGATTATTATTGGTGCTTGATCTTAGAGCACACCAGATGTGCTGCTGAGTATTGATTGCCTGTAAAATGAATGTTTCTGGGGTGGCTGCCCAGCCAGAGGGGTCGTTTCTTGCCTGCTGAATTTAAAAGGGGAATGAAATGTCTTTGGTGCATTATGGGGTGGAGACTGGGGAGAAGACAGGTTCATTTTCTGCTAAAGCCACAGGGAATCCTGTGGTGGCCTTGGCTGATCTTTGGAGCATTCACTGCACTAACATTTTCCAGCAAACTGAGCTGCTTGAGAGTCGAGCCTGCTCAACAGTTGCCTGGACAAATGTGGGGCTGCTGCAGGCAAAGTTGTCCTTTGCTTGAACAGCTCTAGAAACATGCCAGTCATCTCTGACTGGAGGGGATGTTGCTGTAAAACTGCCCTTCAAGGGCAGTTGAGATTTCACTTAGGTTGCCTGAGTTTTGGCCATGAAACTACCAGAATTTTTGTAGCTTGGGTTGCACTGACCTGAAACCTTGTCCTGTGTGGTGTGGCTTTAGGGTCTGCTGGCCCTGGAAGGAGAGCTGACCCCAATCCTGGTGCAGATGGTGAAAAGTGCCAACATGAATGGTCTGCTGGACAGTGACAGTGATTCCCTTAGCAGCTGTCAGCACAGAGTGAAGGCGCGACTGCATGAAATCATGCAGAAGGATGCTGAGTTCTGTGAAGAGGATTATGAAAAGGTAAAGCACCAGTGTGGCTTCATTGCTCCCTGCATCTGAAAGGAGAATAGCATTGCTGCAGTGGTTTGATGTGAAGTGTGTGGTATGTGAACAGTGGTTTGGTTAGTCTGAGATCAGTTCGGGTCAAAATGACAGGATATGTATGGAAGTGTGCAGGTCAATAGCCCTTGCTCTTCTTTGAGTGACAGTCCTCAGTGTTGCTCTGCTGTCCCCTTCAAGACTGATCATGGTGCCTTTCTCTCCCTTCAGAATTCCCAGTTCATTTTGTTCTTGTGGGTATGCTAAAAGAGCTCCTGCATGCTGCTCAGATCAACCCCAGCTGCTGAGGGCAGGGAGTGCCTCACTGGACTCTAGATCCGTGCTCTATGCACACGTGAACAGACCTTTTGGTTGCAAACTGTTGTGTGTCCTGTCAGGTTCTGATAGCTGCAGAGTAGAGAGCATGGGCTGCATCCAGCACAGTAACCTATGGAAGCATTATTGCTGCTTCTCCAGCAAGTCCCCTAAATACTGTTTTTTCCGGGCTCTGAAATGTGATTACTGGACTGAAGTCCTTTAAGGAATATATTTATCATCTCAGACTTAAAATGAAGCCTTTTTGCTCAAGCACAGAAGCAAAATGAGACAAGAGTGGATATTGTAGGTGGAGGGAGGTCTGATCTGATGGGAGCAGTTGTTTGCTCCCTCTGAGTTTGATCCTGAGGAAGATTTTAAGACATGCCTGACTACTCCTAGGAATAGGCCAGCTTATTGTGCTCATCTGGGAGCACAGCTTTTGTCCCAAGTCAGAAAGCAGTATGGCTGCAAAAGACAGACATTTTGCATTCCCTGTGTGTGAAGACTAACTAATGTCTGCTGGAATCTTCTTTCAGCTAGCACCTACAGGCAGTGCTTCTCTGCTCAACTCCATGACCTTTATCCAGAACCCAGTTGAGGTCTGTAACCAGGTTTTCACCCTGATTGAGAATCTCACCTCCCAGATACGGAAACGTCTGGAAGACCCAAAATCTGCAGGTGAGCAATAGAACTGGAAAGGGTCTGGAAGAGATTAATTTATTCTTACATCTTAAGAGCTCCCAATACCACTAGGGCTTATGTTTTTCTGTAGCAAAGAAACTGTAAAGAGTAGTTCTGTATGTGCTGTTGATGTGGAAGGCTTCACTTTCATTTACTGTTAGAGAGCTGTAATGTAAAGGAGGTGATATGTGCACCTTGGTTTAGAGTAAACGTAAACAGCAGCACTGTAGCCTGGAGGGGTATGCCTGTGTTTTTTCAGGCCTTTTCTGGAGACTGTAAACAGCAAGTTTTTCAGTCACAATTTGCTAATCTCAACTTTCCTAGTATCAGTGCAGAGATTTTACACAGGCATCTTGGGGGCCTGCCATGGGCTCTGTGGCAGACCTAAGCAACTAGGCAAATGGTTTCACTTTTCTCAAGCATTTCAGTAGCCTGTTGCTGTAGGTTAAAACTCCTGCAACAGTTCCAGTGGCTTTTCCAGCTAGGATTCCTGTGGGTGACGCAAGAATTTGAGCCCTTTGGTGCTAGGAGAAGTCAGTCACAGCTGTCACTTGAAACCTCTGCAGCAATAGCCAGGGTTCTATGATTCTGTGGTTCTAGGATGTGAATGTTGTTTGGTGTTCTCTGCTTTTTAGACCTGCAGCTGTACCACAGTGAGACTTTGGAACTGATGCTGCAGCGCTGGAGTAAGCTGGAGCGAGATTTCCGCATGAAGAATGGGCGCTATGACATCAGCAAGATCCCTGATATCTATGACTGCATCAAGTATGATGTACAGCACAACTGTGCACTGAAACTGGAAGGCACAACGGAACTCTTCAAGCTCTCCAAAGCCCTGGCAGATGTGATCATACCCCAGGTACAGCCCTATCACAATACCTGTGGCGCCAGTTTCTGAGCCTTTGCCTTTGCATTTTGTCTCAGTTCCCTTGCACATTAACTGCCAAGGCAGCCTGTCACAGTAGGATGTTTCTCAGATCTGTCTCAGTGTTTGTATGAGGCCAAAACCATTTATGACTTGAAATGTGGCAGGACTGGGCTTCTGGTTGAGGATTCTGGCAGGGTCAGAGTAATGAGCAGCTGATGCAGCAGCTTTTCCACGTTTGTTGTAGTGCATCACAGCACAGCTCCAAGCTCTGTGTGTGTGCTACAGCAACATTCCATCCTCTCCACAGGTTGGGTTGTGGAAGTGAAGGGAGATTTCTGTGCTGAAGTTCTGACAAGTTTGTTATTCTTGTCAAATTAGGACTTGTTCAGTTTCCAATGCTGAGTTGCTTCTGACAAAGTTTAATTTATATGGGATGAGTTTCTACCAGCAAGGTCCAGCTGCCCCTGTAGAGCAGAAGTGGTCTAAACTTTTTCAGTGTTGCTGGCGATGTGCAGTCTGGCTGTTTTCAGCGTAGCTCTGTAGTTTTTATCTTTGCCAATAGCAGTTGTTGCTTTAATGTTCATGCTAGCTCAGGGTGTAAGTTGGCATGTCATGAGGTCTGAGCTTCGCTCATGGTCCTTGTGCCTGTCAGCTGTTGAAGGATACTGATAGTCATGTCCAGACATAACTGGGGTTCTTGGAAGAGTCTCAGTCCTCTGTTACCCCCTGCAATAAGTGGGGAAAAAAAAGTGAAAAATGTTGAGTGACATTTCTGCTCTCATCCTTGCTTAACCAGTGGTGCTGTGGACTGGGCTGTTGAAGATAAGTGGCCTATTATGTGAGGATGTGGCAAAGAACCAGGGCTCAGGGTACCTGTTGTTTTGTTCCTGCAGGAATATGGGATTAATAAGGAGGAGAAACTGGAGATTGCTATTGGCTTTTGTCTTCCTCTCATTAAAAAGATCCAGCTGGACCTACAGAGAACTCATGAAGATGAGTCTGTCAACAAACTACATCCATTGTAAGGCTTGTGCTGCATGCTGCTGGCAGTGGGGAGGGCAGCTATGGAGCAGGGGGTGGTTCCCATGCCAGAAGAGTGTGCTGTTGTGGAAGGAGATACTGAGCATACAATGAAGGAGCCTCCAGGAGGAAGGCATGTTGGTGCTCCCAGAACTAGGAGATGGAGAAGGCACATTGAGACTGCTGACCAGAAGCACAGGGCACAAAGGCTTGTACCCATTGTAGCTGGATGGTGATGCCTCCTCCAGGCATTTCCCTGCACAGGGCCAGTGTAGAATGATGAGCTACCTACTGTGTGTCTCCATTAGGATTCCACAAAATTGTTGCTCCTGTGCTCTCACCGTTTCTCTGTCCTGCCGCCTTTGACATTTCTCAGTGTGGGGTTGTGTCGTTCCGTTAAGTGTACAGAAGGGCTGATGTGTGACAGATGGCAGTTCATTGGCAGGTGAGTAACTGTGGGCTGGTTTGGTTCAGGTACTCAAGAGGAGTTCTGTCACCGGGTCGCCACGTTCGGACGCGGCTGTACTTCACCAGTGAGAGCCATGTGCACTCCCTGCTCAGCATCTTCCGCTACGGGGGGCTTCTGGATGTAAGTGTCCCAGCAGTGCTCACAGAGTAAGCCTCCCTACTTTTTTCCAGTAGCCTTTTCCAAGGCAGACAGTGTATGTTTGTAGGTTACCCCTTAAGCCAGCCCTGCCAAGAATGCTGTGCATCAGTGGCATCTGGCCAGCTCCATCTCTGCTGTGTTTGCATGCTTCCTGCCTTCCTGGCATGTAGGGGGATTGTTCTTCCTCAGTGCCTCCCTTGCTTGCACAGAGACATGCTTTCTCCAAGATCTGTCCTGCTAGTTTCAGGTGAGCAGACCACTTACTTGTCTAGGAGAAGAGCGGTATGAGGCACTGGGGATGAGTGAATTTCTTCCTTCCTGCTTCCTTCAACCCTTTATTTTAAGAGCTTGGTCCTGTATTTATAGTCTTTATATCAATTCTAAGTCAATAAAATCAGTTTTCTTACAGAGGAAGCGACTTGAGGTTGCAAATTCACAGGATGTGCTCTCTACCAGAGAGGGAGATGACACATTTTTAGGGATTAATTGATGCAGCTCACCCTTCACTTGCTCTCTCTTCATCTGCTTCCTGAATGAATTGGTATGCAGACCGTGAGAAAAACTCTGCTTTAAAGAGGCTCTCTGATTTACCTTCCCATTTTTAAGCATGGTCTGAAATGCCTTGAGAATTTGGGCTTGCTTAACAGGCATGATTTCTGGTGTCTGTGGCAGCTTAGCACATCTGTAGAGAGTGATCAGAAAAGTGCCTCTAAATCACTCACTGAACAAGATGCTCCCTTTTCCCTGACTCAAGTGCCCAAGGATGCTGTGTTGCCAGCACAGGGATATTGGGCTGCATCTGGGTTCTTTGCAGTGGAGGTTCAGTTCATGTCCCTCAGTGAGGTGATTGGCTTCACAGCATCAGGGGTGGCACTTCAGCTGTGACCATTTCCTGGCAGTGCAGGGTGGGCTGCCCTGCTCTGCGGAGCCCAGGGGTTCAGCGTGTCCCCACATTTGTCATTCAGCGTCAGGTAACAGCATTTCACTTGGTCCCTTATTGTGCACAGGTTCTGTAGTTGGAGAATGGCTGTGTTTGGGAACTGCTGGGGGCTCTGCCTGTCTCCAGGCAGTGTGGCACAGCAACTTGCAACTCACACTGGCACATGGGTGGCTTGGGCAGCTGTAGCATCCTTCTGTGCAGATGCTCCTCACTGCAAGCACCCCGCCGCATTGCAAGGTCATTTCTTCATGCAAATTAAGCAAGGTGCTTTTGTCCTGACAATGTTACCTTGTGGAGAGAGGAAACTCTCTCAGTCCCATTTCACTGAATGCTGCAAGGTGTCTGCTGTTGCTTATCCCATGCGACTGTTTGTGTGTATATATCAGGAAAACAAAGACCAGCAGTGGAAGAGAGCCATGGACTATTTGAGTGCTATCTCAGAGCTGAACTACATGACCCAGATTGTTATCATGCTCTACGAGGACAACAACAAGGTGAGGGATAGAGCAGTAGGATACAGTGCAAGGCACAGTCCTCAGAGATGAGTTCAGTTGGAAGTCTGTAACTTGAGCTCTTGCTGCTTGTGGACAAAGATGGATGGATCATTAACACAACTGCTAGTTTTTAGTTTATGTGGGAGGCAGTGGCCCAGTTAATGTTTGTTACATGTAAGCAGAATGAACAGTAATACCCTGAGCAATAATACCTGATTTACGTAATTAATACTGACTATTTTAAAGCATTTCCTAGTGCAAAATTATTTGCTGTTGTTAAGTACTAATTGCAAGTGAGCAGTAGGAAAAAGTAAATAAAATTGAGTGACATTTGATTTGTATTTTTGAAATATATCTAGAAAATATCCAGAAATTCCACATCCATAAACTATTTCTTATTCTGAAAGTGTGCTGATATAGTTAGGGAAGTGTAAACTGGTTTCTTTAGGATGTAAAGAGAATCATTTAATAAACAGCTAGAATGTGGGAGCTGAGGGTGCTGGCTGTAAGTAGGTTTGCCACCAAACCGCATGTCCTGATCATCAGACCTTTTGACTTGGGGTCTGTGCTGCAGGAGGTTGTAGGGATGCTCATCCCATGAGGGAAAAGCCCTCATCCCACACCTTAAGGAGTTAGAGCCTTGTATTCACAGAGCTGGTGTGAGCTTCTAATGTTAGAAGTGATGCTTGTCAAAAAACATGTGACTAGAACTCTCACGAGTGGTGTGGATGTGTCAGTCAGTCAAGATGGGTTTATATCATTAGTGCCAGATACTGGAAAAGCTCTGGCTTCCTTAAAAAAAGGTTAATGGAAAATTATTGTTAGAGGCAGTTGATTAAATCTTGGACCAGCGTAACTGAAGGTCTGTTGGAACCCAGTCTCCTCCTGTCCTGGCATATGCTGGGTTTGAAGCAGGAGTGGGTCAGAAGGAGCTGGGGTTTAGGGGGGTGTGTGTGTGTATACATAAACAGAGCCTGATTCTGTTATACTCCTCTGTGGCTGTTGTCCCAAAACAGCAACAGTCAGAACGCCTCAGCTGGGTGCTGATCAGGGCTGTCCTTTTGGATGGGTCAAACCTGGAGCCATTCTGTTCACGGTTGTTGGCCCTGCTTTCCCTCCAAAGGATGGGCCTGGGATGTGTGCTGGCCAGCACAGCAGGGTGGGACCTTGGCCTGGGCTGATGCTAGGGTTAACTGGGTTTGGTTCTTTACCTGTTCCCTGTGACGTGTGTTCTCAGGACCCCTCTTCAGAGGAGCGTTTCCATGTGGAGCTGCATTTCAGCCCTGGCGTCAAGGGCTGCGAGGAGGACAGGAACATCCCCACGGGGTTTGGCTTTCGGCCAGCCTCAGCAGAGGTGAGCGGGCACCTGGGCAGAGCTGCCAGCCCCAGGGACACCTGGGCACTGTCCTGCTCTCTCTGGCCCTGCTGCAGAAGCTTCCTTACTGGCGGGGCACACAGGGAGCTGGCACGTTGTGTCTGAGTCCCCTCTGGGTGGCTGCTGGGACTGTGAGTGTCTCCCGAGCTTGGCATAGCAGGAGATCCAAGCCTGAGCTGGTGTGGGGCAGCATGGGCAAAGGCCACGTGTCTGTAGACACGAGTGGAGTGTTTCCTTGTGGCAGAACGAGGACAAGAAAGCAGACCAAGGCAGCCTAGAGGACCTCTCGAGTGCGAAGGGCAGCGATGAGCCAGACCGTGCTCGGCAGAAGTCCCCGCAGCCCGCGGAGCCCGTCAGCGTCCAGCGAAGGTCACCGCTGGTCAGGAGCCGGAAAACGGGATCCATGGAGGTAACCACGCTCCTGCTGCCCCTCCTTGTTCTTGCAAAGGCCTTTTGCTTGGTTTTGGTTTCCTGGCATTTCTTTTAACATGCCAGAGTCTGAGTTGACTCTGGGAAAGGATCTGCAGAAGGCAAAGAGGGATGTTGTGGAAGGCAGACCTCTGAAACTTCTCACAGGCCAGAGGAACTGATGAAGAAGAGCAAGTAAGGAAATGCTTGAGAAACACAACACAAGCATTATTTGGATTACATGCTCTCTAGAGGCACTGGTGTAGCCAGTATGAGATTACATGCAACCTCACCACCTAGCTATGATGACATCTTGCCTTCTGTTAGGCTCCAGTCTTTGTCTTTCACAAAGACAGCTCCATGTTTCACATTCCTCCATCCCATCTAAGATCTCATGCTGGTCAGGGGTCCCTGCTCACTGGTGGATTCACCCAGAATGTTTAAGCCATCAGGGCTTAGAACTGTCCCATTCACTGATTTGGTGAAGTAGCAGAATTAATTTTACTGTTCTAACATCTCTCCTTCCTGGCTGTTCTGTGTCACAAGGCAAGTGTCACAGTCAGCAGGGGACTGTTACCTTCAGAGTGCTCTGGGATTGACCCTCCGTTCAGAGGGATTTCACAGGCATTTTTGCCATCAGTTTTCTGAACCAGAAAACAGCAGAGTTAATACTAAGGTATTTGTTAGCTGTCTTCCACAAGCTTCTTGTTAAGCTGTATGTTTCTCACAATGTCACCTCTGCGTGCAGCACTTGGAGGCTCTTTGTGATAGGCACATACTAAGTTAAAGGGGATATGATGTCCTGCTGCTAAAGAAGGAAGGCTGTGTCCCAGGAATCTCAGCAAGAGTCTTGGGAGAAAAGATGCTCACTACATGAGTCCCGTCATACTTTACAAATCTCCACTGTTCCACAATCCAACAAAATCTTGAAATTACAGTTGAGCATTCATTGTCACAATCCTAGCATATGACTACCTTTGTGCTTCTTGAAAGTGGTGATTTTAAGGAAGAGATATAAGTTTCTTCACCTTCAATTGATGTTTAAAGGCTTTTGATAGCAATGGGTAACTTGGAGCATGGTGCTGATTATTTACATGTGTCTTTGCAGGTGCTGTCTGAATCTTCTTCTAAATCAGGAGGTTATCGCCTCTTCAGCACTTATTCCAGGCAGTCTTCTGAGATGAAGCAAAGTGGATTAGGTACTGTACCTGACCTGTAACCAGCCTACTCGCTTGTAACTCTATTTCCATGGGCATTGGTCTGTGTCCCCACATACACATCTGGCTTGAGTTCCTTGTATGCCTCTGTGTGTTTCGTGTCTTCTCTCAGTGTTACTGTTGAGACCACTGGAGAGACTGTCTTAGTACCTTTTGTGTACAAACTTCTCCTTCAGCTGCTAGCAGCAGAAGATGGACTTTTCATCCTTTCCAGCAAAGGAGCAACAGGGCAAACTGCCTACCTGCAGGCTTGCCTCTGCTTCTCTGTTGCTCTCATTTGTTACGTTTCTCAACCGAGTAGGAAGAGATGATTTTAGGTGAGAACTAGTGTGCTTTCTGTTCTGCAAAACATCAGTTTATATGCAAAGCCGTTCTTCATGTGAGACTGCTCCGTTTCTACCTTTGCTTCATAAAGATCTGTTGTGGGGAGCGGATGTGTCACATACAGAATGTTTGATAGCCTCTAATCGAGCTGAACTCCTTGGTCAGCCATTCTTCTTGTGGTAGCAAGTGGAAGAGAATATTTCAGGGCATTTGACAATCTCTGTCCTTGATTGTTCCATTCCATGTCATCCTAACCTAAACTATGTCTGAACAGTTGAAATTCTTCCTGAAATATTTCTGCTAAAGCAAGATCTATTTTGAAGCTGGAAAAGCTGTCTTTGCTGTCATGAGGTTCAGAGGTGGCTGTGCAACCTGTGTCTTGAAAAGAGGAGGTGATAATGCCCAAGTCGTGCCCACTTTCTTTGTCTTTAAACCATCTTAGTATTGTAGCATGGCTGCAGACTTGCAGCAGTTCTGACTCATCACTCTGTTACATGGACTACCTGCAGCCAAGAGATTTCTGAAAGGCCTGCTCATTTCTTTGCCACTTTTGGATGAGCAGCTTCTTTGGAATTTAATTCTTACCAAGGAAAGAGAATTTTCTTCTGAGTGGTTAGAAGGTACCCCTGGAGTCTGCCAGCTAATGCATCCAGCCGGCTGGAAAAATCTAAATAGGAATGGCTGATGTATATTATTTTCATAAAGGGACATTAACCTCGGCCATGGTAATTTTTGAATGTGTTATTTCACTTATCTCTGCCTTTCCCAGTGCCACTGCGAGATTCAGTGAGCTGTGACAAACTGCTGTGCTTAGGCTTGAAGAAACCTGTGGCTATTTTGTGAGTCCATATGGATGAATATGGGAATTTCTGAAATGGCACATAGTCAAGGAGGTGCATCTGCCTGGAGAATTACTGAGTACATCAAATGGTACTGCAGACTGGTTTTACTGTTTGAATGTGCGACTGCCAGAAGGCCTGGGCTCTGGAAAGCAGATGTTATAAGCCTTGGACTACAGCCTTTTGCAAGTTTTTAAGGAATGTCTGTTTTGGCAATAGAGAAGACCACTGCTTTTCTACACCTTTGTACAGTACTACTCTTCCTTCACAACCAAATCTGAAATATGATCCTGGCAGGTTCAGTTTCAGAATCTTGCTTCATGTGCCTTGCGGGGAAGCTTGTGCTGTTACTCCTTCACCTGTGAAACTCTGCAGGGACAAAACCTTGAGTAGGAGTTGGTAGATCTGATCTGTGACAGAGACCTCCAGCCCAGCCATGGTTCTCCTCTGTAGAGTCTTGCAGGTACAGAAGGATTGAGGAGGAAGGACCTGCTGTACCACACCAGCTTGCACAACAGTTGGTGATTAGGATATCTGTGTTTCCATGAGCTTTTTTTCACCTGAGGCCTGCTATGAAGAACCATGCCCCTTTACCTGTACAAGTCAAGCTCTTCAAGGAATCTTCCTGATTCCTTTCCTGCTTGTTTTTTGGAAATCTGGTTTCTTGCCACTTTAGGATTTGAAATGTGTTTTCTCCCTAAGAGATAATACGGAACTCTGGAAACTTGAACTTTGGCTTTAATACTTGTCTCAGCAGCTGTGGGGGTTTATGAGGGGGGTTTATCGAGGCACTACCTGCTGTTTCTGAATTTTCTGAAGCTGAGCCTACTTCCTGTTGCCTGCCCTTGTCAGTCAGTGCCTGGCTGTCATTATCTCTGGAAAATGGAATATCTGTCCTGGTGTAACCTCATATGTGTAGGCATGCGGGAGCAGAGAGCACGAGAGAGCTCCTACAATAGCTCTGCCCTGCTGCCATACCTTCCAGAATGGTGCCTCTACTGTAATTTAAAAAATTTAAGTCCTCCTTTGAAAATGGGTGGCTGCAGCTTGCTTTGTCTGTGCTTTGGAGTGTGACAGGTTTTTCTGGGCAGCATCAAGTGCACTGCTGTGGATTGTTTGCCATAGTGAATGTGCTCATAGCTTGAAAAGCCTAGGGATGTTTCACTACCTTTCTTTGCTTACAAGAACCCTTCAAAATGGAATAAAATCACTGCTGGCTGTTTGAGCAGTAGAGGTGATGCACTGCCAGTGGCATGAAGCCTTGTGCTGAGATTCCCAGAGAGAAACCAAGAATGACTATTTTTAAACATCTGACATACTGAATGAACATACGACAATTAAATGCACAGTAAATATCCAGCACGTACAGTAATTTCTAGCAAGTGTTGCTACATTTAAATCCAGATGACCATTGTGTTCTTTAGGATGTGTGTGTGTCTGTGTGTGTGTGTGTGGTTACTTTGGGTACAGCAGTCTTCTGGAGTTCACTGTAGACAACTGCTGTTGTCCATAAAGTCATCTTTGTAAATTTTCTGGCATAATGCCTCTGTCTGCAGCAGGAGAGCAGAAGCACTAGGGTATCCTTAGCTTAATCATTAACAGCACAAGGTTGCTCAAGATACACAGTCCTAAAAAGCTGATGTTCTATTTTTATCTGCCAGTAAATGAATCTGTGGGGTGGGTTTTGTTGTTGTTTGTTCTTAAACCATGGAAGAGCTATTAGAAGCATCATCCTGTCTGATGTATTACAAAATTTCACGTTCATTCCAACAGATTCCAGTTCATGCTGAGTCAGCACTTTGCAATCAATTTAAGGCATTAGGAGGAAATTTTCTAAGGTTTGTGTATCAGTGACGTTGCAGGCAAGAGTTCTTTTATGTTCAGGGGCATGTATGTGCTAGTCTGTGCTGTGGAAAGCCACCAGCAGTGTCACAGTGGGGAGCAGCTGCAGTTCAGTGCTACAAGGACCCTTTTGGTCACCCCACGAGCAGACGTCCTCAACTCAGCCTGAGCTTATGCAAGAGCATTTTAATACTCAGGATCTCTGTGTTTTCTCCAAAGAAGCTCTGTCTTAAGGATCTTTGCAGAAACAGAGCTGGGGTCCCCAAGAGCAATGAGTGGATGTGAAGCAGCAGTGTGTCCTCACACCAGGGAAGGCTGAGGGCGTGCTAGGCTGCCTCAGCTGGAGTACAACTGTCCAGCTGAGGGGTTTGGCTCTTCTGTCTGTCCACCTCTCATGGGTGCCTGAAGCTCTGCTGTCCTGCCCTGGGGTGTGGAGGGTGTGTGTGTCAGGACTGTGAGCCACTGGAGGGCAGTGGAAATGGGTGGGAAGCCTGGAGCCCATGGCGTTGGAGGAGAAACTGAGAGCCGTGCTTGTTCAGATTGGAGCTTGTGGGGACTGGAGACCTTAATGCTCTTTCACCCCCTCAATGGGAGGTTGCAGAGGGAGCAGAGACAGTGTCCCCGAGGCCCTGTGGTGGTTGGTGGAGAACCAGTGAACACAAGTTGCAGCACAAGAAGTTCCAATTAGCTAGGAGGAACAAATTTTTCACCCACCATGAATGTGCCAGATTTTAGAGCAGGGGGCCAGAGAGGTTGTGAAATTTACTTTCTTGGAGGTATTGACAACTTGATTGGACAAGCCCTAGCAATCTGATCTCAGTTGGTCCTCCTGGAGTGTTGGGAAAGAAGCTTCAGTCTTCTTCCAACCTAAATCATGCTATGATGCTTTATTTTAGAATCAAGAGCTGCTTCCAATGCAGGCAGGTTCTCTTTCACAGCAGTAACAGTTGCACTGTTCCGTGTTGCAGGTTTTTTGCTGTGGCAGACAAGGTGGAAGCAGATCAATCTGCTTGTTTCTGGAAGCCCTTTGTATGTAGGAGTAATGTTGGTTTGAGCAGTCAGTACAGAATACAGCAGCAAAACTGTTTGCAGAGAATTTACAGCCAGTCAGTGGCCGTGTCTGGTCCATACTAGGGTTTTGTCTTGACTCACAATTGCTTTCCTCAGTCCCTTGAAAGAATCCTCTTTCAAATGCCTGGTGTTACTGAATATCACACTAAGTCAAGTCAGTCCTCAGAGCACTGTGCCTTGGAGAAGCAAAGCCAAAGCCCCAGGAGTGAGGTTGCCCTCCACCTTGCCTGCCATGTTCCTTGACAGTGGATAGTGAAGTTCCATGCTGTGTGCACGTCTGGTGCTTTGCAAGGCTCGTGGTGGGGTGATTGCTCTGTGCTGGAGCAGTGAGGCACGACGAGCTTGTGAGAGCAGGCCCTCTGGTCACAGTACTGTCCCTGCTTGTTTGACTGGGGATGGATCCACAGATCAGACAGTTCTTTCCTCTCCTCAGTGTCCTACACAAAAAGGAGCTTTCCAAAGAGAAGGGGCAGAAGAGCAGAGCAATGAACCTCTGTGACATGAACATCAGTGGTTTGGCATCCTGTCTGTTCTGGCATCAGTGTGTAGCTTTGCTGACTGAAAGGGGTGAAGGTGTTTCTCCTAGGTCAGGGCAAGAAAGCCAAATGGAAGTAAACCCCTGGATGGAATTAGGAATTTTCCTGGTGCTGAGGTTTGGGCTACCTGCTCTGCTTTTGGCACTGTGGAGTTTAGAATGGAGAACACGGCCTCCCTATGCTTCCAGGCATCATGGTTTTTTCTGAAATTGCTTGTGAAGTGGCCAGTTCATTCTTCATCCTTTGACTAACCCTGCTTTTCTGTAGTTGCATGCAGTGGATATGTGTTACTAACACCTTCCCTGCCTTTCCAGGGTCACAGTGCACCGGGCTGTTTAGCACCACTGTGCTGGGAGGCTCCTCCAGTGCCCCCAACCTCCAGGACTACGCACGCAGCCATGGCAAAAAGTTTGCCAGCAGCCTGACATACAAAGACGGTATGTGTGTTCCCTGGCAGCAGGGTGGTACTCTGTGGACACTGGTGTCTCAGGATGTGCCTGCGGCACAGACTCGGACTGCTGGAAACAGTGGCACCTGAATGTGTGCATTCACCACATCTACAATGATCAATTTTGCCATGTCCTTGCTAGGACAGAAGGGACCTGACATTGTGAGAGGAGTTTTAGGCTTACGTGTGGTATTGCTGGGGTCTGATTTTGGTCTGTTGTTTTAATAGTACTTGGCTGTTGGGAAGGGGAATTTATTGGTCCAGATATTAAATCGGTTTGTCCTGGTAGGGAAATCCAGCAGATCACATCATCTTGCTTACCTTGGTCATCTTGCTGATGGTAAAATGAAGCTATTTTTGGGGCAGTAATCCTTGCCCCATGGAAGGTGGAGCCATCCCAAAGACAGGATGATATGCGTGGGCATGGATAAGATGGGCACTAGAGAGAGGCTGAGCGCGTGGCAGAGTCTGAGGTAGCTCTCAGGAGGCAAGGGCAATGTGCCTGGAAGGCTTGAGGTGAGTGAGTTGCTTGCAGGAAGTACTGCAGATGAAGTATGGAAAGTCTGGTTTCTGTGCAGCTGTGCAAAAACTGCCGGGAAGGTCAGCAAGACAGTCTGGTGAAGGCTTTGGGGCCAAGGCTAGAAATGCTCTGTGCCATGGGTGCAGGTGCTGCAGCTGCACCCTCACTGCCAGCAACACTTGGTGCAATGTGCACGGGGCAGCAGAGGGTTGTTATTTGCAAGGAAGGTGGGGCACAGGGACAGACTGAGCTGTTCTGGAGCAGCTGGAGGGTGTAATGCACAAGTGCAAGTGTCCAGTGTGGCCCTGATAGGAAAGACACTCACTCAAACTCTTCAGTACTGATTCACATAGCCCATACTGGGACACTGATTTGAGGAGCTCTGTGGGCAGGGTCTGCACAGCATACTCTGACAAGGTTGGAAATCCACCTAAGGTTTCCCAGCATTTGAGTGGATGGATGTAAGGTTGTCTGTCTTGGATGTCTTATCTTTTTGGTATTTTAATCAATGCAGAATCTGAGTGCCTTTTTTATTGGGATTGTAAGGAACATTAACACTGCTGGATTTCAAAGTGGGAAGAGGATTAAGGGAGTAGCTTGGGAAAGACAGGAGGCTGGTTCATCTGGACTTTTGTCCAGTTTTGAGGCAAGGAAAATGGCCTAGCAAATCAGGATGGAAAGATGTTGTCCAATTCTCAGCCCTGTTGGAACTCTGTAGGTGCCACTATGTTCACTAGCTGCCTGTGCTGCTTTTCTTGCATAAGAGAAAGCCAAGCTGGTTCTCACCTCCTCAGGGCACTCCCAGGCACACAGTGGGCTGTGAGTGACGCTGGCAGGGAGGGTGAGATGGGAGTGTTCTCAACCCCAGTGTACCAGTCTGAGCTGCCCCAGGCAGCAAGTACTGGCTACTCACAGGTTGCAGAACAAGCTGATGGTGTTTGGCACAAAACCAGGATGTGAGTCACAGTGGAGCCTCTGAAAAGGCAGCAAAGGCCCTGCTGGCTGTTCTTTCCTGACTCTGCAAGGAATGGGAGCCCAAGGCAGCACTGATTCTCAGGGAAAAGCATCAGAGACTGCTCTGTGCCCAGCTGGGCACAGAACAGACTGCTCAGTCCTGGTGCTGGGCTGCCTGCTGTAGGCTGTGGAGCAGGATGTACCTGCAGCAGGCTACAGGCATTTGAGGCCGTGGACTCCTGCTAAGCCTAAATTCAGTGACAAGGTCTCTGTGTGCTGAGATGCAATTGTACCCTCAAGTACCTAAAATGTGGACTTAGTTGACTAGCATGTGTCTAACACAGCTCAGAATTATAAATCTTGATGTTATACTTCTGTTGTCATGTTCCTTGGCATGCCCTGAGACCTGTGCTGTCAGTGCCTTGCTGCAGTAAGGGCATTTGGAGGGAAGGTGTCGGGGGCTTGGGAAAACAAGGACATTTCACTTCTGGGGAAGGCAGTTTGGAATGTGAAATGAGCCCTTGATCTGCATGTTTCCACTTAAATGAGCACTAGTGCAATGCTGAACAGTGGCATCGAATCCAAACATCACTACACCTGGTTGCAGTCAGTGGCACTGCAGCTACAGCAGACTCTTGCAGAACAGTTTGTTCCACACTCTTTAGACTAATGGTGTTGAAAAGCAGCACATTTTTGCATGAGCTCCTTGGTAGTTTTTCATGGCTGTGATGCTTCAAGCACTTCACCAATGTTAACTTGCCTTGTTCCAGGGATGTTTCAAGGGCCCTTATTTCTGAAGGTTTTTATGCTTGGAGCTGGAGGAGGGCTAAGGAACACTTCAGCAGGAAGTTTTCTGAACCTCAGGCTGAGGGAAGGTCCATAGATGGTTGTGATTTCAAGTTGGCTTGCCTGAAGCCAGGGATCTAGTAAACTGGGTCAGTGCCATTTCAGCTGATGTGCCCACAGGGCAAGGGGAGGTGTGGGTCAGCTGGAGACTGTCATCAGCAGACTGCAGCTCCAAGGGATTGCATGTGTAGGGAAGGTTGTTGTGCTCTTTGAGTTTAAAGAAAGAAAACCAATTTTTAGTGCTGGTACACTAGAGGAGGAAGTTCCAGTGAAAGTTGGTTTTAGATACATTATTTGGCCAAGCCACTGCATGTGGCTGTAGGAGCACATTGGGAGTATGGAGCATGCATTGGTGCACTGGTGAGGGGGATAGGCATACAGACCCTGTGTGCTAGGGAGAATGGATGTATGAAACGTGAAAGAGAAATAAAAGGTTTTTCTACTATTTCCTGAAAGATCCCAAATAGCAGCAAAAGGTATGATTGGCTGGGATCTCACATCAAATCCCACATATAGATAGTCTGATCCAGGCCATTCTTTTTCATGATAGCTGAGGATTTCCAGTGTGGGAAAAAAAATCAAAGTTTCCAGCCCTTTTTTTTTTTTTTTTTTTTGTGTGTGTGTGTGTGCATGTGGAGCCTAATCCATGTCCTTTAAAGCCTATCTGTTTGCATCCCATTAGATGCACAGTGTCTGTCCTTGCACGGTCTTTCTGATACGTGATTTGTATGGGAGAGCTTGGCCTGGCCTGGGCCATGGCCAGGAGAAGCCTGAGGACCACTCTGACAGGTGTATCCCAAAACTTCCCCTGAAATATTTTGAGCAGAGAACTGTAGAGGCATGTCTTCATGGGTCTTTTCCTTCTTCCTTACTCCGGTGATCTGTCCTTAAATTCATAAATAGCTCTGTATAGCTTGCATTAAGAGATTGTTTTGAGCTGTGCTTTGCTGGAATTCCTTAGCACCTCTGCAGGGAAGTGTTGGTTTTCCTCGGGCAGAGGTAAATCCTGGGAGCAGTCCTGTGGTGCTGCTACTTGCTGGGACGTGTGCTCTGGTGGCTGCAGCACGGCCTGGCTGCATTCTGCACTGCAGGGAGCCTGGTGTGCTGGAAGTGTGAGTTGCTGACTGAGAGGATGGAGAGCGTGGCTGAGTGTGTCACGGCAGGGCGGTGCAAGGGCTGGGGAGATGCAGAAGGGCTCAGCCACAGGCAGAGTGTCGGGTGCCACAGCAGTGCCGTGGGAGCAGCTGTTGTGGGCGTCAGGAAGGTGAACCTGAAAGCCTAATCAAGTGTATGAAGGTCGGGGGATCCTTTGAAGCAGGCTGTTAACTGAGATGATCTGTTTTTATTTCCTCAGAGCTCTTGTCTATGCCAGCCGTAAAACGATTTTCTGTGTCGTTTGCAAAGCATCCGACTAATGGTATGTTTGCTTTCTGGATTTGATGTTCCCTCACACTTCTAACCCCATGCTCACGTTCAGTTTTCTCTGCACATGTTCTCCTCTCAGCCTTCTTGTGGTTTTTTTTGTGTTTGTGTATCTGATGTCCAAACACGCTTCACCTTCCTCCATTGTCTCCTTGTGACTAATGTGCTCACTCATACCCTGGTACTGCACAGTGCCTCTGCTCTCCCCTGGGGTGTTTGTGTCCCAGGTGAAGAGGCAGAAGGCATGGCTCTGTGAGTGTGCTGCTGAAGCAGCCTTTAACTCTGCAGAGACATTGAGGCCTTTTGTCATGCTCCTTGTTGGGAGGGTGGGGATCAGGGGGAGAATACTGCTGGACAGGGGGCTGATGCCCATCCCGTGTCATGAAGCATCAGCAGCTTAGGTCCTGAGTTTCTACACTGCAGATTTGCTGGATGAAAACAAGAATAACACTAGGACAGCTGTGTGTCACCTGGAAGGGCCCAGTGTATGGTGGGACAGACGAAGTGCACCTGGTGTATCATGTCAGGAGTACTGGTAGCCTTTTGGCCTCCTGTTGTGAAACCTCTCTGTTAGGCTGGTCTAGTGCTCCTCCGAGCATGGTGATGTTGGCACAGGTGGGCTCACCTTTCCTGCAGACGTTTCCCTGTGGATTGTGCCTCTCCAGAGCTCTTACTCGTCTGTGTTGGTGGATGGTGCTGGCTTGGGGGCAGGGGATGGGCATCGTGCTGCCTGGGGTGGCATCACCTGCATCATCCCATCCTGCCTGTATCTCTGGAAAGGCTTGGTGACAGATGTCTGACAAAGCTTCTGCTACTTCACTATCTCTGCTCCATGTTGCTACTTGCCTGACAACCAAAGTGTGAGTCTGTGAGGTTATAGGCCACTAGCTCTGTTGTAGCAGGTGCCTTGAACCAGTGTTTACTCTCCAGATACTTTTAAAAAGGTTTCACAGCACCCCTCCTCTTGCATGGCTCCTGCTGCTGACACAAGTTGGAACCAAAGGAGATCACTGAACGCTACCAAGTATTTCTGCCTGATGCCATCAAGGCAGCTTGCAAATACGAAGACATCCTGCTTGGTGTAATCTGGAAGATGAATGAAATTCAGAAGACTGTTCTGAAAATGAAAGTTTTGGGAAGGATGAAATGGGAAAGGACAGGTCACTGTGGCTTTACTGTTTCAAATAACTAGAGGGAGCTTATTCTCTGTGTTTGCTTGGCTTTGGTTTTCCCAGAGTGGCCAACTGCTTGGTTTGTCTGTATGTCTGGGCAGTATTGGAGCTCACATGGTGTATGTCAGCAGGGTGTGTTGTTCTATCTTTCCTGCAAGGTTGTACTAAGTTCCAGCCTTTTGTAAGACACGCTGTAAAGCAGTTGCCCCTGCTCTAAATACGATCGGGTGAAACCGGGCATCATGTTTCTCCCAAAACCCCAACTGGTATTTCTGATGGCAAAGTGCTTCTTAATCAAGAAAACAAAGACAGGGGTCCAGCAGGTGAGAGCTCAAAGTCAGGGATATTTGGCCTAGGATTGGCACTGCTTTGGGCAGGAGGGATGTTTACCCCATGAACCACTTAACTGAATGCAAAAAGTGTTCCCAGCTCTGAGTCTGGATTTTGTTTCTGGAGAGCTGCCTCTGTGTGGTGAAGTGGAATGGGTAAACCAGGGTAGTAGCCAAGCACAATGTCAGGCCAGATGGTTTATGCCCTGGTCGCACAAGCCTTGGGTGGGTGACACGAGTCCTGAGGCAGTGTATAGGCAGAAGACATGCCTGCATGCTGGTATCTTGTGTGCCATGCAAGGGTGTCACAGAAGATTGCACAGGGCTGTTCTCAAAGACAGGGAAAGTCAGTGCTTCTGGGCTCCCTCTGTTCTGCACTCTCGGCACTTTGCTCTCAGTCAGACCCTGCTGTCCCCGAGGTCCCTTGCACGGCCTCTGCTCGTTTGACGCTGGGCCATTTGCTCTCTCCCCGTGCTGATGTGCCTGGCTGCGCTTGGGTGCAGGACTCAAACACTGTTGGCAGTCTTGGCACTGCTGGATTTCTCATCTGAGCTGCAGAAGGGCAAGTCTGGCCCTGAGCCTGATCCTTTTATTTAGCCAAACCTGAACTGCATTGGACTTGGAATCTGTCCTGAAATTTATTCACTTGTCAGACTTTTCCTTTACAAAGATGAGCCCCTGCTGCTCAGGCAGTGCCCTGTGCTGCAGCTGGGTGAAGCCTGGGCTGGGTGGGAGTCTGGTCTGCCCTGGTGTCACTGGGGGGACATACCTCTCAAGGGCATTCCTGACCTGCTCGCTGTGGGAGGGATTGTGCTGAATGTGTGGCGTGTATCCTTCTCACCCAGCAGCCCTGGTGCTGGCAGCTCCATCCCCACATCTCCGCAGCTGCTCTGTCCCCCAGCTGTACCTGCCCCTCTCCTCTCACTCTCTATGGCCCCTTTCCTCCAGATGTGTTGGAGCACCAGCACGTTGCCCAGTTGCTACGCCGTTTTTCCTCTGACTGTGCCACGAGCCGGACCATCTCCTTGGATGCCACCCTAGCCCATCACCTGCAGCAGTGCTCCTACCACCTGCGCCTCTTCAGGAGCTGGCTGATCTCAGGGCAGGATGACTTGGAGTGTCTTTACGGTACTGCACGCTGCAGCTGCCTCTGTCCCATGCTCTTGTAGCTGAGCAGGGACCACTGTCTGCTTGAGAGTGCAAAGTATGCTTTGCTTCTGAAAAAGGAAGGTGTTTCCCTCACCGTATCCTGAGGGTCTCTGGGCTGCTGCTGCAGCAAGCTGTGTGGGCTCTTGTACCAGCAGTTTCGGAGCCTTAGGCAGGAGCCTTACCACACGGAGCCTCCGCTCCCCATGTGGCTGTAACTGCTCTTTCCATCTTTGGCAATTGTTTGTTGCCTCCTTCCTTTAGCCAGGGTAAGCCCTTAGGCTCCCTTCAGGGTAGGTGCTGAGCTGCTGTCCGTGGAATGCCCTGCTGGCAGGATGCTCTGTGCAGGTCGTGGTGAGCTGCCGCAGAGTGTCCCCCTAGGAACAGAGGAACCAAAGTGAGCAGTGAGAGTATAGGAAGGGATTAAGGAGGTGCTGCAGCTGGTCACAAGCTGAGTGGACTTGCTGTGGACATTTTGGGGAAGTGAGAGCTTGTGGGTGTGCTGTATCTAGAGAGACTGAGTTAAGTTAGGGTAGAGCTGAGCTTTTGTGTGGCTGCACTGCATGGCATCTTTTCTGCCTGATAGGGCCTCTCAGTGTGTCCTGTCTCTGGTGGCAAGAGGTAGGCAACTTCAGCATTGAATCCAGACGTTACAAATCAAAGCTTGCTGCTGTTTCTCTGGTGTTTGTCAGCCTCTGTCACAGACGGGAAGTCTGGTGCATGGAGGCCTTGGTGCTTCTCACACAGGCAGAAAGCCTGCTGCTCCCTGAGCGAGGCAGCGAGCTGGGGCTGCCTGCTGGGGTTCACTGGCACCATAGGAGCTGCTCGGAGCATGTGGCTTGCTGAGCTGTGTGGTGTGATGCATGGACCCCCTTTTCCATTCTGACCCACAGGTGGAAAGGGCACAGACAGTGCAGCCTTCCTTGTAGTGAAGCAGCAGGACCAAGCATTTTCAGACCCTGGAAGATGAGAATTTCTCTTAAGTCTGATTTTCCTTGATATGGCCCTTTCTGTCAAGCAGACAGATTTGGAGACGGTTAGTTGCTTTTCACATGTAATTAGGACAATTCCGTGGTCTCCTGGCAACAAATGCTAAAGAGGAGCAGAATTGCTTCAAGGGAAGAGATGCTGGATCACAGCAGACTGCTCCAGAGCCAGGGCTGTGCTTTCCCTGCTGCAAGTCTTGGCCCTGTTTGTGATCTCGGGTGGGGAGAGGAAATGAGCTCAGTGCTTTGGACACTGCAGGCTGCTGGGAGGTGCATCCTGCCCAGCACAGCCAAACACAGGCATTAGGGGCTCCATACCTAACTCCTTACCAGCACAGCAGCCCTCCCAGCTGCAAATCAAATATCCACCATCAAGTTCATTCTGTTTTCCCAGTCCACCAGCAAGCCCACAGTTCACTGATGTGTTTGGGATTCCTGCTGAGGCTCTTCTCAGAACAGACATGGTTGACAGCCCAGGTTTCTTCCTTGTGAAAACTGCATTCTTCTGTCCTCTCTTGGCTTTCCACTGTACTTCTATCCACACAAAAGAAACATGAATTAGAAGATAGAATCACTGAGTCAAAAGTATGCAGTTGGCATCCACAGTTGGAAAGATCAGCAGTGGAGCCCTGAAGGAATGTCTGGGAAGCTGTGTGGTCATGGCTGGGAAAAAGAAACGTGTGAAGTTCATATTGGCAATGAATCACACTGGTGATTCATTATTGGTGATTCATTCAAAGCCAAAGGTCAGCTGTGGACAGAGAGCAGCCCTGTGATGATGAGCAGGAAAGTAGAGGTGATGTCCAGTGTAAATGAATTTAAATGACAAAGGGAAACAGCCCCAAACTCTTATATATTAAACAGTGGGCTCTGATCTGACCATCATTACTTGAGACAACGTGGAAAAGGTAGAAATTTGCAAAGTTAGAAATCTGGGAAGGATGTTTGTAGTAGTGGTGTAAGTGGCCTGAGGGAAGGGGTGTGGATTCACAGTTTTGTGTAGGTCCAGGAGCAAGAAGATTTCTGATGGAGTGAGTTGAGACACTGGACAGAAGTGGGTTTTTTCCAAGCTCTGTACCACAGTACCTGGGGATGTTGGGAGCTTGACTGAGTTCAAGGGGAAACAAGAGTATGGAAGAGACAGATGATGTCCATAGCAATTCTGAGCTGTGGGTCACTGGTGTTTGGGGCACATGACTAGACAGTCACACGTGCTGTCTAGGCTTCTGACTCTGCATATACAACATACATGTGGCATGTTGGAGTTTGTCCAGAAAAATAGGGGTGGATTGGTGATGCATGTCAGAGAGGAGCCTGGTGAGTGCTTTTGTTCGTGCTGAGACTGGACAAGTGCTTCTTCACTCCAGAAGAGCTGGCATGCAGAACACTGGCACACAGAACTTCCTCTGTGGGCTGCTGTTGGATGTTGGTACCAAATAGACAGAATTCTGTCCAGTTTCTCATGCCATAGCCTGTATCACAGACTCCTGCCCTTCAGGCCCCAGGAAAGAGTTTGGGGGAGCATCAGCAGTGGCTGCACAGTCAGCACAGGGTAACTGTCAGGCAAGGATGGTTCCTGTGGCTTGCACACATTTTATTTTTCTTGCGCCTTCCCAGAGGTGTTGGTTCTTTGCTGGCTGTGTGTGGTGCAGCAGTGGTTGGAGCCTTCACTGGAGGCACACAGAGATTGTGATCCATAGTGGTAGCTGCTGCCTGAGCTGTGCTGTGCTGGCATGAGCCACTGCTGGCCTCTTCCCCAGCAGCCCAGCAGGTCTAGGGAGGTGTGCAGGCAAGTGGGGTCCCATACACAAATGAAAAGGATTCCTTGAACACAGTACTCCTCCACCTTGAGAGAGGAAACTTTGGCCATTTTGCTCTGCTTGCTCAAGAGTGGTGCAGTGCCACAGCGCTCTGCAGAGTTGCATGAGCAGGCACCTGGCACTTCAGGGATACAGGTATATGATTTCACATCAGCTGTGTGTCACTGTCTAATTTTTCTTTTCATGCTGGACCTTTGATTTGCTCATCTTACTAGAGGGAAGCCCAAGAACTCAGATCCCCATTGGTGCCCCTGCTGTATCTTGTAACACTGCTTTGCCCTATCTTATATTTAAACTTCCTTTTTTCTTTGGAGACCCCAGTTCCTGAGCAAACTTTGGCCCCTCTCAAACCAGATTCTGTTGTGAAATGACATTAGCCTCAAACTGGGCTGCTCCACAACTATGTCCCATGACCATTTTAAGTTTTGCCCTCACCTTTTTCATTTAGCTCTGTCTCCCAGGAGGCCTCTGAGAAAATAAAGAACGTACATTCTTCCTTCCTCAGCACTTCCACTCTCAGGACTTCTTAGCAGCAGACACAAGAATGTGGTCTTTTTCCTGTGTCTTATGTTTCTTCATCCTTGCTAAGGATTTGTTATCCTTTCTGTCTTGAATTATGTTTTTAGGCCCTTTGTGGCATAGGTAACCTCGTGAACTCTCTGGAGGATTCTTTATCTCCACCAACTGTTATTTATTCAGTGAACACCTTCATGGCTTGTGCTCCTTCCTCTTGCAGACCTGGGTTTGGTGAGGGTATTGGAGCAGAGCCTGTCCTGGAGGTGACTGGAACAACTGTCTGCAGTACACAAACAGATGCTCCAGGGCTTCTCCTGAGGTGCTGCCAAGCTGCAGGAGTCAGTTTTATCCTGTTGGTGTGCTGGGCAGACATCCTGCCACAGATTGCATCAAGAACTCTCTTATTTTTTGCATTTCAAAGTATTTTTCCTTTTCTGTAGAAACAAACACAGTTTCTTTCCAGAGTCTTTTCGAGGTCCTTGGAGGAGACTGGGGGGTCACAGAATGGGAGGCCCAGCCCTGAGGAGTTGAGAGGCCATTAAATTTGAGAGGTGCAGAGCAGGGGGCAGCCTCGTTCCATGTACCCAGGGACTCACCTGTTTCTTCCTTGCTCCTCTGACAGTTCAGGTTGGCTTGGTTCCACAAGGCATTTACAGGAAGCTGGGATGAAGAGGAAGATGCTTTGCTGTGATACTCTGCTGGCTTGAGCAGCAAAGGATTTATTCTGAATGGTTGTGATGCAGCTTAGCTTTGAGGAAGTGTCTATTACACGCTGAGATGCCTCTTTATGCTCATTCTGGGTTTGCTGGCAGTGAAGTCTAGTTAAAGGGACAAATAATTGAAGTCATTACCCAGCCCTTCCTGTGGACACAGCCCGTTGGGGTGCATGGGGGGCTGCTGTGACAGGGAGGTTCTGTGGCTCCTTGTGGCTGCTGCAGTGTGTGCTCCCTGCTGTGGGGAGAGGGGTCACCAGCAGTGGGACCTCTTTAATGGAAATCCTGTTGGCACCACTTCGATTCTGTTTGGCTTCCGTAGGAGGGGGCACTGTGCCAAGCTCTGTGCCAAGTTCTCTGTCATTGCTGTGTATTTTAAGTGTCCCAGGCTCAGCAGCAAAAATGGCAGCTGCCAGATACTTTTCCTCCTCTCCCCTCCATGTGTACCCAGGTGCTTGCTTTCAGATCTGTTACTGCATGGGATTGCTTCGTGGTGATTTCCTTGGGTTAGAAGAGATGACCTGAGGCCTGAGTGTGCCTGTTGTTTGATTCTGTGCCCAGAGTGCCCAGCTTCCTTCAGCCATGAGTGCTCCTGCATGGATTTGCCCTGCTGTTTCCTCTATTCATTTTCTGCTTGGGTCTCTTTCCAGGTTTTGAAGGCTGTTCCATGGTTCCCACCATCTATCCCCTGGAGACCCTGCACAACTCCCTCTCTTTGCGGCAGGTCAACGAGTTCCTGACAGCCGTGTGCAGGAGCTGCAGCGAGTCGCATGTCCAGTCCACCGCAGGTACTGCTCAGGTGGGCTTGTCTCTGGCAGGGCAAGGAGCACTCCTGCTCTTTTACATTCTTGGGACAGATCTGCCTGACAGGACTGGAGAGAAGTGCAGTCCCTAGAGCCTGTCCCAGAGTGTTCTAGCCCAGGAATGTGCCGTGGGGCCCAGCTCAGAGCCATCCTAGGCCACTTATGTGACAAATAATCAGTAAGGTCTGTAGCTGCTGAGTTTGGTGATGAGGATACTGACTCCAGCTCTGGAAATCTTAGCCTCAGATTCCCAGGAGTTGATGGGCGGGCATGGCTCTGAGTTGGCACTGGTCTTTAGCTCTTCCCAGAGCACCTGCTCATGACTGCTGGGCTATGAGCCATTCATTCCTTTATGTCTGTTGGAATATTACTGATCTGTGTATTTTTTTCTCGAAGCTTTGTTTGATTCAATGATTGGGAGCCAGATACCAGGAGACCCCTTTATGTCCCAGCGAATCCTGTCGTCATCGTCCCTGCCACTGCGCCAGCGTTCGGATAAGCCCCCTTGGTGTGAGTGTGCTCTGCTCTCAGTCTGGGGAAAATGTAATGGGCAGGGAGGGAAGTTTATGAAGTCAGCAAGGTCAGGAAACCAGTCTGGCCGAAAACAATTGTTTAGTTCTCCTCCTTTATTGGATTAGATACAATCTAGGTATTGCTCTAGTTTTGCTTATTGTGCAATATAAAGCAAGAAAAAGCATTAGTAGAGAATCAATATTTCTGTCTCTAGTGTTGACTCTCACTCAACACGCAGGGACTGTGTCTGTCAGGAACAAGGAGGAGCAAACTGAAGCTGGGATTGTTCCATAATAGTAAGGGAATGAAATATATTGGTTTTCATTTTGAAGTGAAACATCACGCTTCACATTTTGCGCTGTGACAACAGAATCCACTCTTGGCTGTGTGCCAGTATAGCACTGGATTACAAGGTAGAATTGTACTCTGTGTGCTTGGGTTTTCATCAGCTGAGCTGTCAGAAATACCCAAGACCAGCTGTAAGCTCCTGACAGGTCACACAGCATATAGACAGCCCTCACCTCTTGGTTGCAGAACTGTGGAACTGGGACTGTTCAGGTGGGAAAATACCAGCTGCATGTTTTAAGATTTTTCTTCCTCTTTGCAGACAGCAGCGGCCCCTCCAGTACTGTCTCCAGTGCAGGCCCGTCCTCCCCAACTTCTGTGGACAACTGTGCTCGTTTCAGCTTCACTGAGAAACTTTCCACCAGCCCCCCAAAAAGTGAGGAGCAGCTGACTAGCCAGTCCCCTGAGCAGGAAGAGAGTCAAGCTCCACGCAGAGGGCTTGACGTGCAGGAGAGCATGTCTGGGCTGTCAGTAGCAGAGCCAAGTGCCCCAGAGACCCTGATCTGGAATAAGGGCCCAGAGCCAGGCAGGATTCTGGAGCTGTGCAAGGAGGAGCTGGCAGGGGAGGATGCTGACCCAGAAGAGAAGAACATGGGGGAGCCGAATGAAAAAAAATCATCTGTGGAAATGTTAGAGCCAAGTAACATAGGAAACCCAAAGTGTGAAGGGTTTGACCTGGTTGGGGAGACAGTGAAGCCAGGTGAGGGGTCTGTCAGGGGAATGACTGGCCTGGATCAGTCGGGGCTGTCCAAGGAGATCCTGGTGCCCTGTGAAGAGGAGCTGCTGGGAGAGGTGTTGGACCCAGAGCATACAGGCAAGGAGCTGCCGGGGGACAGCGCTCTGTCAGAGCAGCTTCTCTCTGGTCCCCTGTGCCAGCCACTGTCTCCTGAGAAGAATGTGGAGGAACTGCAGCTGCTGTGTCAGAAGGATCAGCAAATTTAGTGGCTTACTGGACAGCACACTGGAAGCACTTCTAAGCCCAAAAGCAGCCCGGCCTCCTGCATGGCACCTCACGCAGCTGGAGGTCCGTAGCAGAGAAGAAGCCACTTCCCAGGGCCTCAGGACTCTGTGGTGTGGAAGAGATTGCTTTGCTCCTTCACAAGCCAGCTCTTTGCCATTCATCAAGAATGTTTGCCTCGTTAAATGAACAACAATGCAGTCATGGTACTGGCATGGCACCTCCATGGAGCAGGGACATGGTGCTGCACTGGTGTCCCAAGGGCTTTGTGCTCACTGGGACAGCAGCATTAGAGGACTGGTACAGCCAAGGCTTTTAGGGTGGTAAGTCCAAAGGGGACAGATCCTCCCTGGTGACCTTTTGGCCCACAGCCTTCAGAAAAAGGCATTCTGGGCCCAAATTAATCAGATCCATCACAACCACCAACCTCCTCTCTGTTTCTTCCTTCTTCCTGTCTCAATTCCCATTGTTGGCCACCAAAATCAGGTCCAGAGAGTCCATGGTAGGAAAACTAGCGGAAGCAGAAAGCATTCTGAATGAGTGTGGAAAAGAAGGGTAGTGAGGGCATCAGGTTTGACTGCCACTTGCAAGGAAACATCCCTTTGCCATGGCCTTGGATGTTTCCCTGCTGGGCTGGGGCAGGAAGGAGCCTGTGGATCCAGCCTGAGAAAGGTGTGCAGGGAAGACACAGTTATTTTTTTTTCTCATCCCCAAGGATCAGGCAGGGTACAGCTCTGAGGTCTTGGTGACAGGGATTAAAAGAAACTGCTATTTTGATAATTCAGGACTATTAGAAACCAATAAGGAGAAATCTTTATTATATAAAATGAAAAGTATTTAATGGATATTTATGTAAATGCCTTGTGAGCACAAGCCTGAGGGCGAGATTGATACGGGTGTCCCTGCCGCATCCTGAGTGCCGGCCGGGGCTGTGCTTCCCACTCCTCCTGTATTTATGGACAAGTCTGCGTGTCTGTCTGTAGCTAGGATCTGTGTTTTTGTGAAGCTGTGCCCAAAGATCTCTATGCTGTGTTGTGACAATGTGTGTTCACAGTAAATCTATGCTGTGGGTCCAGTGTCTCTCTGTCTCTGATGCTGACTTGGCAGCAGTGTGTATGTGCCAAAGCCTGCAGGTGCTTGGAACAGCAAGCCCTGCTCATGCTCTGTTGTCCTGGAAGAGCAGCTGTAGCTGGAGTAAGACCTGTAGTAAAAGCACAGGCTCCAGGCCAGGAAAAAAAGCCTCCTTTTTCCTACATAGGAGAACTGCTCATACTGGGGAAGAGCTTCTGGCTTCCCAGGTCTCAGGGGTGTTTGTGGTAGAATGAAGACCCTGGAATGGTGTGTTCAGCTCCTTTCACCTGGTCCACACCTTCCCATCACTTAAAGCACATCCTGGGTGTCATGTCCTTTTCCTCATGCCCAGTAATCCCAAGCTGCCACTTTGGGCATGTAGGAAAGGTCGTGTTTACTTGCACAGAGAATGGAGCAGTCATGCAGCTGCCCGGAGTGCACCACTGGGTGAGGGCACCCCAACCCCTTCCCAGATTGCTGTGCCTGCCCTGTGCTCTCTGTCCCTGCCTTCAGATCTGCACACAGGTGACTGAGCAGCATCCCTGAGATTTCCCCTTGGCACTGCCCACGGCCCTTGCCCTGCTCCCTTGCACAGACAGTGGCCTGTGGCACTGCTGCCACCAGCACTGCTCTGGCAGCCACGTCCCTGCTGAGCACCAGCCACATCTCCTGCCTGTGTGTTCCTGTCCGGGACAGTGCCTGGGCAGGGTGGTTGCCACGATGGACCCAGCAGCACCTGCTGCAGGGGTCAGTGCTGAGAGGGGCATGGAGCAGGGCCCTGTGGGCTGGGGCTGTGGCTCTCAGCTGCTGATCCTGCAGAGCCTGAGGCTGTCCTGCACACCTTTGGGAAATGCACTGCAGTCACAGGACCTTGCTTAGCTGGAGTATGACCAGAGACAGTGCTCATTTACCTGAAAAGTGGCTGTGTGTGGAAATAGTTCCTGCTTTATGGTAACAGTTCATGGTTCCTCCCATCAGCACCAGGTTTGGCAGCTGCCCTGAGGTCTCCACCAGGGCCTGCACAAGCTGTGGTGTGTTCTGGGGCAATGATGGCCTCTCTCCTGAGGACTGTAGCACAGAACCTGCTTGCTTTTTTCCTGGCATCCATCTGTGCCATTGTTTCCTTCTGAGGACAGGCAGGCAGGAACTGAACTAACTGGGCGTCAGCCTCTCCTGACTGTGTTCCAGCACAGGTAGAGCAGCAGCTGTCCCAGTTTTCTAAAAACTGAAAGAGAATTCTCTTGCTGGAGGTCAGGTCGAAGTTCTGCAGAGGTGCAAAAGCCCACTGCTGCAGTGGGGTCAGGCATGGAGTCCCTGGCATGCCTGCACCCAGGTCCCACACCAGCAGGTGTGCTGCCTGCCACAGGGCCAGACCCTGCAGCTCACAGTGCCAGCAGCACTGGGCAGAGTTGCCATTCCCAAGAAGTGCAGGGACAGGCAGAGGGCTGCAATGGAATGCATGATTCTGGAACTGTAAGGAGTGATGGTGTTGCACGGCAGTCAGGCCACGCCAGGCTCCTCACTGGATTATCAGGAGCTGCTTTCCCCCGACAGCCCTTAGCCAGCTGTCCCAGATGTTCCCCAGGAGGGACCCACGAGCTGCCCTGCTAAGGCTGGGGGCAGGGGGCTGTCCCAGGCAGGCTCTGGCCTTACGTGAGTGTCCCTTTCTGAGTCACAGCAAAGTTCAGCAGCTGCTGGTGAAGGTGGGGTGTTGGTGGAAAAGCTGGGGCTCGCCTAAGCTGGGAGGGGGGCACAGCAGCTGTGTCTGTGTGCTCCTGCCTGCCAGCGTGGGCTCACTGAAACAACAGCTGGAAACCACTGGAGATGTTCTCGTTCGCAGTTAATGTGGCTTTATTATTGATGTGTTGGGCTCCTCTCTTGACAGCAGTTAGTTACAGTGTTTCACATGGAAATGGGCAAAAGGACAGAACTCAAGGAACTAAATTCAAATAGAAATGTGATGCTGAAGAAAAGAATCAGGGCTCTCTTCTTAAAACATTTAGCATAGAAGAAGCTAGGAGCACAAGATGCCATTTCAATACAATTAAGACGTTCACTTTTTTAATTATAGGTTTAAAATAGTATTTTTTACCTATTACATACAGGAAGATTACGCGTTGTTGCCCACATGCAGAAACAAGCAAAAGCAGAGTTTAACTGTTTCTCTCTATAGTGTTGTATTACCTCTGGCTCCAGTGGGTCCTGCTGGCTCCTGTGGCCTGAGCAGGGCCAGACTCTATGAATCAGCATTTTCCTAAGTCTTTTTCCCCATTGTTTTTTTAAGATGGAAGGGGGTGGAGGAGAGAGGGACATAGGGAGTGAGAGAAGCTCAAGGCAGAACAGACTGCGACAAAAACTGAAAAAAAAATGTGGAGCCTTGAGGACAGGGAAGCAAACTGGTGTAGGATAAAGGTAGCCAAGCAGCAGAGCTGCAGAGGGCAGGAGCAGAGCATGGAGGGCAGCGTTCCTCCTGGAAACCACCAGTGGCCACACTCCTGCCTGGAGGATGCAGGCACCTCACAAAGCCTCACTATTTACTGCTGCTTAGTCAGAATTGCTTCAAGTTTAAAATAGAGAAAACATTCATGTGTGGGTCTATCTAAAGTTAGTGCATCAGCTTTTACATCTAGCTACGCAGAGGGATCCCAGGAGCCAGTGAGGGCCATGCCTGTGCCTCTGGCATCCAGCAGCTGCCACCTGGCAAGGGGGCCGGGGTCTCCCCAAAGCACAGCAGGCAAAGCCCCCCAGCATTCTGGGGAGGGGCAGATGTTGTAGTGCCTGCAATTGCCAGAACCAACATTCATGAATGCTGACCCCATCAGGGTACAGAGAATGACATTTTTTATGCTGGCAGACACAGTGTGATTCCATGATTAAAATGAACACAGCAGAGGGCAGGAATTTGCTAAAGCCCTGAGTGAGCTCACATGCTCCTAACAAGGGCTGTAGCCAAAGAGCTGTCTGTGCTGTGGGGAGGCTGCTGGCCTCAGGTCTTATCCTACAGCTGCTGGGTTTTAGACACAGCCTTGCAGAGACATTTTTGCTGCCCACATGTTCTCTATGGTCTTTTCATTTTGTTTAAATTGCAGCATGTTAGTATTTGTACTGAGAAAACCTCTGAACTGACACTAAAAGCACATGGTATCATGTTAACATGTATAAATTAAAATATTAAATCAACACAAAATGCAGCTCAACGTTAAAAAAATAAATATATAAATTAAAATGCAAAATAGACCATTTCCCTAGAAACTCCATTTTAGTGCTAGGAGCAGGTTTCTAAGCAGCATTTTTTTCATGTCACCTGCCAGAAAACTAGCACTGAGACTGAAGTGTCCCAGGCAAGTGCAACACAGGGTCCGAGGATGCTCATGGTGGAGTCAGCCCTCTGCTCAGGGCCAAGCACAGTGGGTGTCACAGCAGATGGAAATACGTTGTGCTGACTGACAGCCACTGCAGCACAGCTTTCCATCTCATTCCTTCTTTCCCAGAGCACAGCCTGCTGCCACACTCTTCTACAGAAAAGCTGTCTTTGTGGTAAGATCCTCTGTCACTTCTCTTGGGCGTGGCAAAGGCTCATGGATGCTGCAGGCTTAGTGCAGCTGAACATCCCATTCCCTGCTGGGAGAACTGTCTCCCACACTGGAACAGGTCTGTGTGCCAGGGAGGTTCTGGGTGGCTGCTCAGTAGCCACAGTGCACTCGCTGCACACATTTGTGTTTCTGCCAGGGCAGCCAGAGAGCAAGGACAGGTGCCCACAGTGACGTGCAGGTCAGGAACAAGCTGCAAGGTGGCACCACATGGATGAGCAGCACCTCACCTGCGCCACCAACACACCCCTGCACAGTGTGGGGTAACTGAGAGTGACTACACCTGCTGAACTACTTTTTCCCAAGTATTTTGGGAAGGGCCTTCTCTTCCCTCACACAAGTTGTATTCCCCACATCCTGGACACTTGGGGGGGACAACAAAAAGCTCGTACACAACTATAAGGCTGGGAGCCTGGCACACAGGCAGTGAGGAGATGGCTGCTGCCTGCAAGCTGGCACAGCACAGCCACACAGCTGGGCACCAGCCTCCCCCAGCATGGCTGTGTGCTCCTCAGCTGCCTCACCACAGCTTTGGTTTAGGGAGAGGGAGGTTTCTTGTACATCCTGGGCCAAGCATGGCCAAGGTTTTTTCAGCCCTTCTGCTGTTGAGGGGGCTGCAGTTGTGCGTTTGGATGCTCTTTTTGTGTAACTGTTTAGGCCACAGCCTCTCTGTGCCTCCTCCTGCCTCACAGCTGGTGTGCAGGAGTCAGTTGGCTGCTGTGTGTGCGAAGCTCAAGTTAGCAGGTTAGGAATGTGCTGAACCCTCCCCTCCCACTGCCATGTCCTTCATCCCAGCTCCCTGAGCACAGCAAACAGGCGCTGCAGGATGCCACAGGTGAGTACCTGGGACAGAAATTTGCCAAGCTGGCTTGTGGTGGTCGTGCCTAGCTGGAGCACAGGTCCCCTTGCTCAGAACACCTCCTGTATGCTCAGGAGGCGAGATGGAAGAATGACCTTCACTGTTACATTACAGTTCAGAGGGTTTTGTCTTCCCTCATCTCCCTGCTGCAATTTCTTTGCAAGTTAGATTTCGCCTCTGCCCCCTGCCTCCCATGCACTCTGCATGCAGCAGCAGCACTTCAGCCCTCACCAGAAAGGTGAGGTTCATGGTGCTACAGGTTAAATGGCAAGGCAGCCAGGAAGAGAGTGGAACAAGCTCTCACAGCAGCAAGGCAGCCAAGATAGTCTACAGAAACTGTACAGGCAGCAGAATAAAGCAGGGAAGGTGAAAGTGCCCCTGGCCTGCAACTGCTCTTGCACAAACTCTTAACTCAGTCCAGAAAATTACAGAGCCCTGCACTTCTTCCTCATGGCATCCAGTGCTGAGCAAGATGGATACCCGATTGCCTGACAAATGGGAACCATGTAGAGGACTAAACCAGAGAAGAACTGGACTGTGATTAGATGGTGTC